TGAATGACGACGAACAAGGAATGCACAAAAAAGTATGTTTTACGAAGGAATAGGGATATATATAATAATTTGCCGATGGAAGTAAGACGTAGCGAGAGAGTGGAGTGTTTTAAACGAAAGTTGAAGTTAGTTTGTAAGGAAGTGTAAGTTAGTTGTAAGGTAGTGTAAGATATTTATTATTACTAGTGTATTGAAATAGCTGAGAAAGCTAATAAAGTTCAATCTCTCTCTCTCTCTCTCTCTCTCTCTCTCTCTCTCTCTCTCTCTCTCTCTCTCTCTCTGGCAATGGAATTCGTATCTCGTCTAATTTTCGCGTCTCTTTTCCGCAGGAAGGGATCGGTTGCGTCATGGAAGGAAAGCGAATGTGCACGCGACATTAAACACAACAGCTTCTGCGACGTGTGTGTATATATTTACACGATTGTTGCCAATCCTCACCGTACGAAATTAGCGGATCTCTCCCGTCCTTGTACAGAGAATCTCCTCGCCTTATACACAGATTCTTAATAATTTAAACCGGTCGATCGTGAACGGCGAGCGGGCCGGCCGTTTGCACGATCGAAACGCGCGATTTACACAATGCGTCGTCGTCGTTCGCCTCGCAATTGTAAGAGAAACTACGCATTTCCTCCTCAGTTTCCTCCCCTCGATGCCCCCCCCCCCCCCACGTTAATCGTTAAACCTCATGGATCGCGGCCAGAACGTAAGGTCGTCTCACAATCGCAAGCTTCCCGCTTTCGACGCGCCAATCTTAAGCCTACGCTTATATTATTGATAGCCGTTCTTAAAACTTTATCGCTCTTACGACAAGGACACCCACGAACCGGAGCGTCCGCCGCTCCGCTTTAATAAATGTACACAATCCCGCGCTCACGCAACGTCCCTGCAGCCAGATACAATAACTGCGGTAACATTATACAAATATAGTGTCGCGTCGATTTATTAAACGTACATCGTGTAAATAAAATCAGAGTCAATTAAACTGTATGCTCCGTCGAAAGCGATGGATATTGCGCAAACACGAGGCCGAGTTTACAGGTATATCGCGGGTATGTTGCTCGATTTTTTTTTCAAAGTCAGCGATATTATATCATGCGTTCCAATGCAATCCAGGCGGATCCGGGAGGGGGGGGGAAGAGATGCGCCCCCTGAGAATGATACAATTTATAGATAAGATAAAGTTCGGGGCTAAATAAAGGATCAAGATGGAAAATTGATCAAGTGAGTCAAAAGAATTAAAACGGGATCTAAATTGGACAAATACGATCCATAAGGCTCCGACGTGAAACCACGAATACAAAGTAATGAAGGATACAAATGAGTTTTATTTTTATTTTTCGCAATAAATTTAAAAATTAAAATCACTCGAGCACCAACATCCTGTCTTGGCCCTTACATCCTCTGTTACTTCGTATTCTAAATCGGATTGCCAGATTTGCGCTCCATCCGTTAAAAGAAAAACCTAGAACCGCCCTTTCGGCTCTAATGTGAGAGGTATTCGCGTTAATTTTCGATCGACGAAAACTAAAATTGCACAAACGTCTGGTCTCTTCGTTTTTTTTTTTCTTTTCTATTTAACCGCGTCTCGCCGGGGCGCTTCGAATCGCGATTGCGTGAGCTCGGGGTTTTACAGCACGCCTGCAACAAACGCCTAATCACGTAGGAAAATATGCAAAGATTACATCTCACGAATCGTTCGCTCTTACTCTTTGGTCTGTCATCGAATTCCCTCCGTCAATGCCTCTCGCATTGTCGTCTATTAGGAGAACGCGTCCCGAAAGGTAAGATCGGTAATAATATATCATTAGAGACCTCGCTCTTCTCGCGCAGAATACCGCAGTCCTCTTGTGTGCCCTCTTTCCTTTCTTCGTATTTGTAAACACACGCGTGTGTATCCTGCACGCGTCGCGATCACGACGAATTTTGTAGAACCTTCGTCGAGTTTTCACGCCGTGACGACTGAAGGAAACCTCTACGCCACTTTACTAAACCTCGAGCGGAATAAGATAATTATCGAAGCAATTGGAGGTAGAGTCCCTCGTGACTAAAAAAAAAACTACGATAATAAATACGTCTATAAAACCGTGATAAGAAAATAAAATGAAATTGTTAATGTATAAATTATAAAATGTTATAAAATTTTATTTGTCAACTTTGTCCGCGCTTGCGGCTCAGCTTTTCCTTCATCAAACGCTTTCGCTCCCTCTCGTTCACTTGTCACGACGGTAAAGTTTCACTACAGAGATAGAAGAAAAATATGTGTTTCGTTCCAAAATTAAGAAAATACATTTCTCTTTGTTTTTCTCTCTCCCTCTAATCTCTCACTATTCGACCATCTTCTTATCACGGATGCTCGAAGTACTTTTCCACCTCCGCATGAAACACGACGAGACTCTTGTCGTAATCTCCTTCGACCAGAACGAACCCCGGGGACTTCTCATCCGCGAGCGCCCATGAAAATTGTACCCTTGGATCGTGTTAAATCGATTAGACGGCACGTCGCGCCAATAGTCCGTACAAAAATCTTGAGAAAATAGCTTTTAAAATAGATCGCGGCCTCCCCGGTCGATTCTTTTTCTTCATATCGGGGGGAAAACTTTTAGAAACCCGCGAGTCGCTTTTTTGATTGCTCACGGAGACTCTTTTCGCACGCGCGCTGGTTCGTCGACAAGGCATCATCCCCCAGCTTCGAGGATGTTCCCTTGTTAATGCGGGAGTGGTGAACCTTTTTTCGTAGTGCGAATGCAAATGCAATTGAATCAACAAACAGGACAGACCCCACAGTCTCATGAAACTTTTATAAAGGATTGCTCGAAACGATCCCGAAACTTGTGTCTATATTAATTTTCCTACTTTGGACAGATCTTTCTAAGATTTGTCAGTTCAAATTGGACGAGAAGAGTTTTAGTGAAAACGTCAACTCACAAAGTGTCATCGAAATTACTTAAGTAATAATTCAGAGAATAATGGACTCGTGATTTAACAATTTACAATGTTGTTAAGATATTACAAATTTTCTCCGACTGTGGCGGGACGGGGCTTCCTCCTGCTTATTTATTCAATTCCTCAAGTAGTTCACTCAGTGGCGCAATCTATAACAAACGTCGTCCTCAATATTATCTATGAAAATAAATTTAAACGTCCGCCACCCCCGATCTTATTGTTAGTGTAACATTGATCAACGACTCTATCCACTAACAAGCGCACAATTATCTCGGTATTAAGCTCATGAGGTATGGTGTACTTCAAATCGGTAGTGCGTGCCTGTATGAGTATATCGAGGACCGCAGAAACGAACGTCGTAAACAGGCTTCACCCTAAAATACTTAGCCCCCGTCATACGATTTAAATATATTTAAATATATATTTGTGTATATACGTGTGTGTCTAACAGTTATCTATCCGCAGACTTGTTATTGTGTACCCTCATGTTGTACATTCTCGTGTTGCTTTACGATACCATCGATTCTCCAAGCAATACTGTGCGGTCGCAATGATTCTCTCTCAAACAAACAAAAAAACAATCGCGACGCTTTCGCGTGACTTCTCCGACGCGTCATCCAAAAATCAACATGCGTTTAAATAGCGACGCGTTTAATCAAGCTGTAAAATTATGCACTGGATGGGGATAAGGGCGGTTTAGGCATCGCTTTAGACAGCGTCGGATCCGTTTCGGTCGACTTTTCATTCCTGTGAAAACTCTCGGCGTGATCCGCTTGCTGATCGAGTCTCGTTTCGCACCGATTGTCGAAAACTGTTGACGCGCAATATTTCGACAAACTCACACTATCCTTCACTCGTCCCTTCTCCTGGGTTAGAAATGCGCGACTGGCAGCACTTAGGAGAGTTCGAAGCCAGTATTACTGGTGACGGCGTAGCGCAGTTTCTCCCGCAACGTGCTCTTCTTCTGATAATTCGGCAGCTTGAGCAAGTTGAAACACGTTGACGAAGTGGGCAGTCGGTTCTGCGGGTCCTTCTTGCGAATCGTAAAAAAACCTCTGATCACGCTGCCTAAATTGCAAAGAGGTTTCAAACGAGTTAAATTCACATAGAGACATTCGTGGGCAATTTGGAAACTGACAATGGCAAAACTTTCCCGCTAAAAATTACAATCTACCAGGTCTACGATAGCTAAAGAAATTGTGAGAGGTAAAATTAAAGAAATAAACTCTTATTGGACAGACGTATGCACCATCGAGTAATATCACGGTCATCTTTAGGTTGTCCAGGCTGTGTTTCTCTGGTCGCGGTCCGCTTTGACGCTGCAGATGCTTCTTCCTTTTAACAAAGAAAGAACGAAAAGAAGAACGTTGAAGCGTTTGCAGCATCAAGTGGACCGCAGCCTCAATGTTGCGTCAGCTAATCATAGCTGGCCTAATAGCTCGCCTGACTACACTAGGCTGACCATAGACACAAACTTTGACACCTTTGATACTTTTTTGCCGGCCGACACAACGTTGCCAAATTCGTGCTGCCGCGGACTGGAAAGATGACTGCGATATCACCGATTATAAAGTATAAAGTACAGAATTTGAAAGGTGTTGAAGGTCAGCTTCTCGGTTTTATTGCTGGTGAAAGCTCACGAAAAGATTGTGGCGCGTTTTTTCTCGAGACTATTCTATAACGATCGTACCAATAGTGTCACCGGTATCCTCATCGTCGCAAACCTCCACGCATCGTATGGAGAAAGGTGGCTCCAGATGAGCAAAACCCAGCAGAGGTGACTTCGAACAGCTCGTCACAAACTGTCATAAACATCATCGTGCAACTTATTATTATACGAAGATTGCTATGATAGACATTAGAGACATGAATGTCTCGTCAGAAAATGATTAGAAAATGGTCGATTAGAGGAACTGTCGGTACTGGAATCGGTACCTTTAGAAACAAGCCTCTTTCTTCCTCCGTAAAATCCTTCTCCAGGATGTCCCACAGCCAGCATACCACTCGATGACTGTCGTGAAATCCGCCGTAGTATTGCGTATGCCTGCGTAAATCTCGCAGGTCCAAAGGTACGTTATCGCCCGAGATCAATCTTTGTAACTGCAAAGTGTTCCACAATTACTTAATTGAGTGATATAATTATATTAATAATATTACTTTACATAGAATAGAAATAATCGGAGCATCATGATATTTGTTTCGTATTTAAAAGATGCTCACTTCATTTTAAATTGCCTCCAAAATCTAGAGCTTAAATTCCAATTCAAAAATTTAATGAAACATTCAGTAATTCAGTAATTCAACTGCCAAATCGCACATTTAATTATACGCAATTATATTTGATTTGTCATATTTAAAATAACGATTTTATGCTAGTTAATTGTCTGATATCTCAGTCATAGGCGGCACTACGGATAAATGTAAGTGGTCACCTCAGGCGTCGAGAACAACGACAGCCACTCGGGATTAATGATCGAACGGAATCCCTTGATGAAGGCGGTCGTTTGCTCCTTGATCTGATGATACATCCTATAGTGCGCCATGTGGTGAATATATTGAATCTTGTTCTGATTGGTCACGGCGGTGGTGCGGCCGCCAGTGATCAGCTCGTGCGTGACCAGCTTGCCGAGCACGTCCTCGTCGAGGGAGAACGTCAGCTCCAACTGGCGAATATCGCCCTTGTAGTGCTTGACCAAAGTCAGGCTACGATAGAGATCGCGATCTAGCGAGGCAAGCTCGTCCAGCCAGCTATACAATGCGCCGCCTGTCTGCCCGGAAAATTGCGAGACGAAGAATGACGCGAAAGGCACGTCCACGACAATGCCCTGAAAAGTGATAGAAGATCGATTACTGCGAGAGAACCGGTTTTATTTGGGAATAATAATTACGTCTTGTTTATTTCTTATTTTTCCCAGAGTAATCCAGATATGGTAAAATCACATGGAGACTCCGAAGGATAAGGATAAAATATAAATAATTAAAATAATTGTATGCTCATAATAACACGAGAGAGATACTGTAATTATTTGCCAAATATTATCTTATCATTTAATATTTTTCATTGTAATTATAATTTTGAAGCCATGCCGTCATTTACAATTAAATTGCTCGAACGTGAATAAGAGTTTACCTCGTAAACCGCTTTGCCGAGCATCCGCCCGACAAACTCGAACAGTTGCAAGTGATTGTCCTGCATGAAAGACGTGGGGGATGGATAGAGCCGGTTTTCGCTGGTAGCTTTGAACAAGTTCAGGGATGGGTCGAACACTCGCTTTATTGTCTCTTCCAAGAATTCCTTGAAAACCCCGTCCTGATCGATGCCGGCCTCGGCTAGACCTTGCTCGTTCACGAAACGTACCCTGATCACACCTTTCAATGCTTGTGACGGCAACATGGCCAATTGTCTGTATCCGTCCTCAACTATTCGCGTTCTATAACATATAAATATCATAGTGATCGAAGAAAGTAGTACAATACGAAGAACCATGAAATAATGATAAATTGTATCATATTGAAAACAGGGTTGGGAAGTAACTCGTTACTTGTAACGAAGTTACAGTTACTTTTTTTGGTAACTCCAACTTAACTTTGTTACTTTCTCTCAATCCGTAACTGTAACTTAACTCAGTTACATTAAGAGTTACTTAATATATTTTTTGAACCTCCACAGTTCGCATCAGGCCTTGCATTTACACATAAACGCCTTAATCGACGCTTTACAGTTCAAATGCAGATGTGATATTTTTATTTTCATTGGAAGAAAGTAACTGCGCAGTAAGGATTCGTTATTTTTTGAGTAACTGTAACGCGTTACTTTTCAGAATTGGTAACTTGTAACCGCAGTTACATTTTTAGCAAAAAAACTGTAACTGTAACTAGATACTTTTATAAAGTAACTTTCCCAACTCTGATTGAAAACAGGGTTTTAGAAGAAGAAAAGCAAACGTCTGTCTGATGTTATAATGTGCCATTATATTATCAAACTGAAAAAAACTTTTCTTTTTGCCAGATATTTAGTTTTGTAGAAAGTAATGTCGAATTTTATCAAATTGAAGAAAGAACTTTTTGGAAGTTAAGTTTTGAAAGAACGAGTAAAAATAAAAAGAAGAAAACCTATCAATAGACCTGTGCACGACGATAAGAGTAGTTGGTGGACTGTTACAAGCGCTCTCGGTCAAGCCCATTACTGCTTTCTCGTCGGCTATGTGTTTGCGAAATAATACCACTCGCTCGGAATGGGGGATGACGTGAGGCATTTTTGAAAGTAAAAGCGCCGCGCCACGTCGTCCTTTTTCCAAATCCGCCAAGAAGCCAGATACTCGTACTTCCTGTTAAAAAAAAAGAAAGAAAAACTGAATCGCGATGTACCGAATATTAAGATGAATCTAGTAAAAAGCAACAAGTCTTTGTTGTAAATACACAGATTCATGTAATGAATATTTCACACATTAATAATTTTTGTTAAAAGACATTTTCTTCGAACACATTCCGATATAAAATCTTCGTAAAACAAAAGATAAATACTTAACTTGGCTAACCAGTGACCTTCCGGGCAGAACGTTCTGCGGCAGTCGCGTCGATAGATCGCCATTAGAAGAATGTAAAGTGAGATGAACAGAGGATTGCTGGATACCGACTTTACATCTGCAACATCCAAAATTTCAAAAACACCCTCGAATTCTTTCTACTTTTCCTCTTGCAATCATTAATTAACGATCTAACAAAAGACGGCAGAAATCGACTTACCGAATAAATTAGTGAGAACCGCTTTGTACAAGAATTGATTTAGAAAGTATGACATAGTGATGAAATCCGTGAGCTTGAAGGGATCTTGGTGCTCGTACATTTCCATGTCGTCCAAGATGCTAAAATTGGGAGATAAAGAGATTAGTGTTGGATAAAATCGCTGAAGCTAAATTCGTAAAATTACAAAATTTATGGAATCCCACGGAAGAAAGTTGCGTCACTTACGTAACGTAGTGTGTCATACAATCGGCGAACAGTATCAACATCTGGAATTCAGGCGCCGTGCACTTGGTGTTGGCCGCCAGGAGATCTAGAAACGCCTTCAGACCACAGTGCGGTCCCAGGGTGGTCAGAAATAGCCACATGTGATAAAGAATTTTACCTTGATAGCACAACCCTGTTTTTGTGTATACGCGTCATTAGTCGCAAATATCATTTGCATACATGATTCTTGCACGATTACACGCCGGCTTGTTACACGTACCCGTCAATATCTCGATCTTCATTTGCGTGAGCGTGTGCAGTGCCGTTTGATACAGAGAACAGATCAGAGCTATCTTGGTAGCCTCCGGACTGCCCAGCTTCCTGTAATTCTTGGTGCTATTGTTCCTATTAGTGCGAGCCTCCAGGAACGCTCGTCGGAAAATATTGGCGCCTATGGAAGAGGTACTTTGTTGCTCTACCGCGGGTGGTACCTCTTTTTCAACGAACTCGGTTAGTGGCTGCTCTGGAAAAACAAAGATAAAAAGTAAACAGAAAGCGAACCGACGTCTGTCGATTCGGACGTCACTCTTTTGTGCGCGACTTGCGGCTCTTTGCGAGGAACATCAGGATATATAAAATCGATGACTCTCACCGATTAAATGCGTAACGATCCTGCCCGTCCAGAGGCAGGCGAGCTGCAACTTGACCGAAGGAGTCGCGTCCTGTAACGAGGTGTCGATCGTCTGCGCAAACCAGCCTAATACCGGATGCCAATGCGTCAAGTTGCTTCGCTTGGCGACTACGTATTGTTGACACGCCTCCAGCATTCTCGTCACAACAAACTGCAAAGGGATCCACGAAATGTTACCGATGTGCGCATGTAACGAGGAAGATTAACGCGATGGCTTACCGTAAAAGAGGGAAAGCAGAGCTCTCGCAGCACTTCCTCCCTCTCGATGTTCGCCAGCTGTATCAAATTGGCGAGCAAACAAAGCGCGTAACTGCCCTCCAGAGCGTTGAAGACGATCCTTAAGTTCTGCTCGGAGTTGAGCAGCTCCAAACTTCGCGCGAACAGATTATTCGTTATGAACGACGAAATGCACTGTAAAGACACGACGGTAACTTTTACCTACTCGGATCAGAAAGGAGATATCGCGGCGTATATAATGAGGCTTGTAAATATTTTGTTCTCTTCTACCTCCGGCGACAAGACGTTCAGGTGATGGACCAGGGCTGGCACGCTAAAGATGTTAATCAGGAACAGGGACACCAGCTTGTCGGACATTTGCGACGAGATCAGCGGTCTCAGCGTCAGGGTGACCGCTGCCGAAAGCGTAACTGGTTTCAGTGCGATTTTCGCGCGACCCAGTCCCTTCATCAAGAGAGCCTGAAACGGAGAGCGCAAACGTTGAGTCGCCACGCGGGGACGGTTCCTCGAAAAGAGCCGGTCGTTGCCGTCGCTACCTGCATGGTGCCGTAGAACCCGTTGTTAACTAGATGGCCCATTATGTTCGCGCACAGCTGGCTCATGCCGGTCTTCAACTGGTCCATGCCCTTCACCTTCTGTATAGCCCACGTTCCCGGCGACGTGAAGCTCACCAAGGTGTGCAGTCGCAGCAGAATGGACTTGTGGTCCGATACCCTCTCCGGCTTGAGGCCGTCCAGGCCGGAGAGGCAGTGGTACAAAACTGCCTTCATTTGCGATATCCATGATATGTAATGATCCTTGCTGAGCGCCACTCCGACGTAGGATACCTTCGGGGACTCGGAGTCGAGGGTCAGCACGAGGTATCTGAAAGAGCGTCTCGATTCAGACTGCCGGGCCTCTCTCCAGGAGACAGGAGGCAATTGGCGTCGCGCGCGTACTCACCTACACACCCTCTCTATTCTCTCCTGGTCTCTCTCCCTCTTATAAATTAGCAAAAATCTAGAAACGATCCTGTACACCTCCAGAGCAGGTTTCAGTTCCACCGTTGCACTGTCGGCGCCGATGTCATCGAGGAAATTGTTATCAAATTCTTCTCTGAAAATAAAGGGGGTCTCGTGAGACAACCGGCATATCCTCGCGTACAGTTATACATCGAATTCGTCTCTTGCGGCAGAGATACAAACTTCACAAAAGTTTACCAGCGAAATCGAGACGGACAAAAATGCATCTTGCAATGAAAACAAAGAGCTAACATCTAAAATCTCCCCCTCCGCGCCACAATTCCTACAATAATGCGACTTATCTTAACACTCGCCCGGAGTTCCGCGAACCTGACCGACTATCAGCGCTATTTGTTCACGCCGCGAAGATAACCGCGTCATTTTTACACGGCTACTGTACAGTATCAAGTTCAATATCGGCGAACCGGACTGACTTCCGTTCGCACGGCGGACACGTGCCATCCCGGTCGCTCTAGACAGAAATCCTGGGCTTCGTCACCAACCGCACTTACAGTATCCGCTTGGTGAACCGGACGCGTGCCAGCCAGGCACGCACGTGGGCCTGGATCAGGGTGGCCGCGGCCTCCCGGCGCTTCTCGTGGGCCCGGTCCTCGCGCGCTGCCTTCTTCTGCTGCAGGAAGCTGCCCTTCGACGACGAGCTGCCCTCCGCGCAGAACATCCTCGCGCCCTCGATCGCCGCTCGCTGCCCCCCCGGGGCGCCCGAACAACCCCCGCGGGCGCCTTACGCGTCGCCCCCGCCTCTGCCTCCGCCTCCGCGTCGTCGTCGTCGTCGTCGCTCGCCGCTAACCGCGAGGCATCTCCGAGGCATCCTCGTCAGCTGACGGGCATCCACCGAGCACCCCCGCCGCGAGTCCGCTCCTCGTCCGAAGGCCCGCCGCTCGGCCGCGTCGGGATGCACGGAGTCCGCGGACGAGACCGCGCGTCCGAGCCCGCGTCCACGGGGCCCCCGCTGTCGTCGCTTCGCGGATGGAACGTCGCGCTCCGATATCGCCTTCCTCGAGATAGCCTGCTGGTCAGCTGACGGGTATTTACAAATCCTGCCCCCCCTCTCCTCAAGCGGGAACGAAAATCACTCGGCAGTGACGGACCGGGGGATCCGGGGCGCCCCGCGGCATCTCGGAGATCGGACGACGAGGTTTTTACTTCTAGGGCCAGTTTCACAAACGTCGGTTAACTGTTAACCAGAGTTCAGTCAACTTCCTATCCTTTTCTATTTTGTTATCTAAGAAGAGACAGAGAATCCAATTAACCTTCGGTTAGCAGCTAACCGACGTTAGTGCGCATATCTTAGGTCCAGTTTCACAAACGTCGGTTAACTGTTAACCAGAGTTCAGTTGACTTCCTATCTTTCTCTATCTTGTTATCCAAGAAGAGACAGAGGATCAATTAACCATGGGTTAGCGGTTAAACGACGTTTGTGAAACTGGCCCTTAGCGTCAATAGTTGATGTTCAGCGAAACAGAAAATTAATGTACCGAGAGCCAGAGAAAAGTTTATTTTCCAAAAACTTTAAATTATTCAGAAAAAAAATGCGAAACGATGTAAAAATCCAGATAAATCTTAAAATTTCCTGGCTTTAATATCTGAAAATCTTTTACGAGCAGTTTGTGATGGATGATTTTCAGCTGAAATTGCTCGCTTCTTGTTCAACGTAGAAAAGAAGTCGGAATTTCGTTCCAAGCAGTCGAATTAAATTCCGATTCACTCAGCTGGCGATTAACTTAAGTGCCACTTGCAATATTTCGTCGACACGCGCGATAATTTTTGCCGATTAAAAATACAAAAAGAAGCTGGATCGGGGACAACTGTATTCGTAACTAAAAATGCATCTCGGCTCGATCGAAAAGCAACCGCGAGTGCCCCCCCCCCCCCCCCGAAATCGTCGGCCCTGACTCGATCTGTTCCCCGTCGATCGCTCGAAGCTCGAGAGGCGGGCGCTCTATATCTCGCGTCGATATATCTCGCGCGTCGACCCATCGCGTCGACTCATCTGCCGCGCGTCCACGACGGCATCTCTCGCTCTCGCGTGCGCCGCCGATCCTCACAGTCCTCGGTCCGCGTGTGGTGTGCGCGTCGACGCGCGCGCGTTTCTCTCTCTCCCTCCGTCTCTTTCTCGCGGGCGACGTGAGGCGGACCTTCCGGCGACCGCGGCCTTGTTTTTCGGCCTCGCGACCGCGGGATCGACGGGGACGTCGCGCGAGAAGGGACGAGCCGCGGATATCGTCCCGTCGCGCGATCCGCGGCGACGTGACACGGTCGCGCCGCGTCGTCGCCGCGACCGTGGGAAAACTCGAAAATGTTCCCACGCTGCCGCCGCGCTGCGAGTGTGTGTCGCGCGTGCGTGTGAAATTCCACCGGGAGGGCACGCGGGGCGGCGGGAGGGTAGGGGGGGTGGGGGGAAAGGATGAGCGCCCAGGGGCAGGAGCACGGACACGCGGTGGTCGTGTGGGAGTGGGAGAACCGTCACGGACGGTGGAGGCCCTACAGCCCGGCTGTGTCGCAGCATCTCGAGCGGGCCCACTACAAGAAGCTCACGCGGGTGTTCCTGCACGACGCGGATCCCACCCTCGACAGGTCCGGAACGCGCGATTGCCTTCGCGGCCCCCCCCCACCCCCGCCACCGTTCGCCTTAACTGCACTTGCCCCGCGATAAAAAAAGTGAGGCAGGTGTATGTTTGGGTTTTACGGGGAAAAGGGGGGGGGGGGAAGCAGAAAGAGGAGAGAAAGAGAGAAATTGAGAGCGGAATGAGCAGATGTGCACGGCGTATCAGTTTAACTATTAGCTGCGGTTGGCGAGTAAGGCGTAGGGGGGGGGGGGATTCGGGGGAAGAATTTGCAAGAATTTGCAAAGTGGTGATGTCGTATGGGGGGGGAGAGATTTGGGGATGGGAAGAGAAAAATGAACTAGAAAGAGTAACGATGGATTGCACGAGATGGGTATACAAGCTAGACTTCTGTACACCGCGATACTTTATTATGAGAGAGTTGGGATTGGATAAACTGGGGATAGGAAAGGGGCAAAAAATGAAATACGAAGACAGGATTAGAAAGGAGAAAGAAGATAGGTGGATCTAGATGTCTAAAAGAGAAAAAGGAGGCAAGAAGGACCTGTATATGGAGGGAAGAGAAAATATTGGCTGCGGTTGATTATTTAGAAAATTTATCGCTCGCTTGTTAATTGATTGTCTCTGGCGTCGAGTATCTGTTTACTTTATTGATAAATTTCGTGCGGCTCAATGTGATAAATATTAATTTTTCTATTGTAGTGTCCTAATATTTCGACACTTCAAATTTGTGCTTTTTTTACTTTAATTGTTTGTACATTACTTCCGCTTCGTTTTATTGTTGATATTGCACTGTACGCCTGTAATTTTCATGAATGTATGTTGATGTATTTTTTGACGATTATATCGAATAGATATAAAAAAAGACACATTTCTTTACACTTCACAGATTTGTGCTTGAAGGGGACCGCAATCCGTACGGTCGAAACGTTGTACATTATTTAATATTAATAAAATAATGCCAGCTGCGTCGAAGAAAAAATTGAAGTTTTAGATATAAAATCTGTTTTAATTTTTACAAATGCGTGAACTTTACACAGGGCAAAAACATACAAGTTAAATCGGACGCCTTTGTACCTTCAACCTGAAGATGACAATAATGTATATCAATGTGTTTTTCAAAATTAGGTATTACATCAACTTGAAGACAAAGACGCAATGCAGCGACGACGGCGACGAGACGCACAATGTGAGGAGGAAGTTTTACCTGCCGGGCTCGCCGGCCGGCAAAGGTGCCAAGTGGGAGTGGACAGGTGACTCGGACGACTGGCACACTTACGACATGGAAGTGCAGTGTCTCATAGAGGAAGCATGGGCGAGAGTAAGTAAACGAATGCCACGCGGCAGGCAACCTTTGTGCCTCTTGACGAAACACTGCTTCTTCCCAGGGTGAGAAAACCATCGACATTTCCAAGACTTACCTGGGTTTCCCGTACATCATCAACTTCTGCAATCTCACGCAAGTGAGATGCTGCACGGGCTACGTGAGGCCGATAAGGCGTATACAACAGGCGCCCTATCCGCTGGTCAAGGTCGCTCTGGAGGAGCTGCAAATCACTTCCGGGAGGAGATCGGCGTCGGTCACGGTGAAGAGTTCCACCGTCAAGGCCGCGCACAAGAAGTCGTCTAACGGAAGCGCGAAGAAGAGCAATAAGAAAGTGAGCTTCCGCCTCTCCTCGGCGTGCCATTGGCAATTCCCGCGGCGGAGACCTCAATTCACCCGATCGTTCCTTCTTTCCTTTTAGGGCAAGAACGGGGAGACGAACGGACCGACGAACATCGCGCGCGTTATTCTCAGTAACTTCAACATATTCAGCAGCAAGCACGGCATCGAGAACAATCCCGCGGCGACGAATGTCGAGTCCGGTCAGAAGAGAAAGACCTGGGACACGGTGCTCGACGTCGATTCCAGCAGCACCAAGAGCGGTCGCAGGCCGAGCGTGGACACCGTGTCCACGTATTTGAGCCACGAGAATCCGGTGGACCTGCTGGACAGCAGCATGGGGAGCGACGACGCGTTCAAGGACTCCATTCTCGGTGCTTGCAGAAATGACTCGTTATTTACTCGTTTTCGCTATTCGGTCGTTTTTACAGTTTCCTGTGTAAATATTAATGTGGAGTAATAACGTAAGCCAACGGCACACGGTACTATTTTTCCTACTGGATTGCTCACAAGAACCAACAAGGATGCAGATTTGTAGATCAGGTGACTCGAGGCTAAATCCTGATTGCAGTAGGAAAAATAGTATCGCGTGCCGTTTGACTTTACTCATACGTCAAAATTATGATTATCTTGATATTTGCACGCATTTGCGTGCTCGCGCTTTGGGATTTCTCTCGAACGTCGTAGCACGACATTAAGTGACAACTGATTAATCCCGTAGGAATGGACGCCACGTCGGACGTGATATCCCAGTACGTGAAGGTGGTGGAGAGCGACGGCTCCGACTCGTGTCCGGTGTGCCTGGGCGCTCCGGAGCCGCTGACAGTCGAGCTGACGCGTTGCAGGCACAGACTGCACTTGGCGTGCCTGAACGCGATGCTGAGCTGCCAGCAGCCGCCCATGTATATACAGTGCCCGGTTTGCCGTATGATCTACGGCGAGAAGAGAGGCAATCAACCGCCGGGCATGATGAACTGGACGCGGATACCGCGGGCTTTACCCGGCTTCCCGAGCACCAATACCATACAAATCACTTACGAGTAAGTGGAAAAAGAAGGCCTATATTTGTCGTAAAAAAAACTTGTAGACCTAGTCAAAAACACAAGCTGTAAGGTACCTTTCACTTCTGGTACCTTAAGGTACCTTTTAATTTCTGTAGAAAATCCATCCGCATATGTAAATTTTGTATTGTAATTCTTCCACGGAAAGGTTTTTGTATGCAATAACAATTTTGAGACAATTTGAAATAAGTTTCTAATTTAGTTTTAAAGCTGAATCTGGTTTGAAACCAATTGAATAATAATTCAATAATTATGATAAAGGCGTTAGGGGCATACGACGACAATGTGAGAATCGGTATTGTGTTTATAAAGAGGTGGAAAGAGACTAAACACGCATGTTGAATCGATAAGTTTAATACGTCAAACGTTGCGGCTACTGAAGGTAACCCTTTTCAACGACGGTACAAAGTAATTGTTAGTGCGCTACTGTATTATTTAAAATTCGGACCTGTACCGCATCGTTAATGTGTGTTACGGGTGTGTGAAATCTTCTTTTTTCTTATTTCTCCGCTGTAATGGTGTGGTCAGCGTTATGGAGATTCGTGTTGAAGTTTAGCTACCCGAATTCTCTTTGATTCATTGGACACATGTATGCAATCATCGGATACCTCGAATGGTATCGATAACTCATCTGTATTATGACAGGATCAATTGTTTGGTGAATAATAATTGAATATAGATTGATAATTTCCTTTTCTGAATAAATATAGTCGCGGAAGAATCGCAGTTGAAGCAAATCTGCATCGTAATTTTAATTCTTTCAGCATCCCATCCGGGATTCAGGGCAACGAACACCCGAATCCAGGCCAGGCGTATTACGCCGTGGGCTTCCCCCGGGTGTGCTACCTGCCGGACAACAATCTCGGCCGCCGTGTACTGAGGCTGCTGCAAATCGCGTTCGAGCGCAGGCTGATCTTCACGATCGGCCGGTCGGTCACTACCGGTCGCGAGGACGTCGTCACGTGGAACGAGATCCACCACAAGACCGAGCTCGGGCCGTCCACGTCCGGCCACGGATACCCCGACCATAGTTACCTCGAAAGAACGCTCGCGGAACTGGCGGCGCAAGGCGTGACCGACGGGCAGTCGTCGCCGATATATCAGCAGCTGCATTAATCGCGATTACTGACATACGAATTGAGTGCAAAAGAGATCGATACAAAAATGGGTTGACCTGCGACGATGTCGAGAGAAGGGAAACCGGCCCGGCCACTTGAAATATTTGCGAAGCCTCTTGTCGCTATCGAGCGCGGTCGGGTTTGAATTTTGCAGGTTGACTCATTTTTTTTCACAGCGTACGAATATTCGCGGTAAACTTAAGATCCTCGTTAATGCTTTGTCAACTTTTACAAAAATTTATGAATGGTTGAGAGTATAAAAGTATAAAGGTTTGTCTTTTTTTTTCTTTAATTTTTATCCGTATTAATGTTGGCTTGTATTAAGTTCTCGTTGGCAAAGTGTTGGCGTAAACTTACGTCCTAGAGATAAAGCCTGGCACGTGGAAATTGGAAATGTATATTTTGAAACGTCTTCTCTTGATTTTTATTCCGTGCTAAGCAAGGAACTGATAGATATATCCTAGGGAACTGAGTCTTAGATTTTTATATGCGTATGTCTATACTGAAGAGCATTTTATCACAACTAAAAGTGGGGGAAAAATTGTCGAACGACAGTATTAAATTTAATGTGTAGATCTTAGTTTTATAGATATATTTTATGGAAAGAAAAATATATACACACATCTTTCGCGAGAAACTTGCCAAGAAATGCATGTAGCAACTAGAAAGATGCAATTCTATAATTGCGAACAATATCTCGATGTGGAATAATACTCGTTTATTTACCTAAATTACGAAGCGTAGCGTAATTCTTGAAAAGGAGAAATCAGGTAATAAATTATTGTTGTCGTTCCAAATTCTATTTTTAAAGTTAACGCTAAGTCTCATATACTGAATTATATTTATAATTTTTCAGACAAAAGCGTCTTTTCTGTACCTCGCCAAATCCCAAGTTGACCACTGATTAAATTAATCGGAGGCTCGATCGTGAATCTTTTCTTCTAGCGAAAAATTTCACTATTCGTCAATGAACTTCTTCACCTTTCACGAATTCACGAGCTGCAGACATAGCGATATAAGAATAAGAGGAGGCATAAGAATTCTTATAACTCTATGGCTCCAGTGCTCCTCGCGTGACAGCTTCAAACGCAGGTCTATTATGCGCCGCGCGTCCGTTAGATGGCGCGTCCCTTCGGTGCGAATTTAAAATGGCCGAAAATTGATTTTTTACCGAGGCCCTCGTTCGCCCCGCGATCGCAAATTCGCAAATTTCCCCCTTTCTCCCGCTCGCGGACGGTGTCAGATTCATGTTCAGGCCGGTCGGGTGTTTGGTTGGCCACGAGTGCACGTGGACGAGGCAGACGTCAACACGGAACGTGAGAGGCTGCGTCGATTCTATTCCGAGGGGGTTCGATCCGTTCGACCCGTTACTGCGGCTACGGCGACGGGCTGGCGGGCATCGTTCGCTCCCCCCCTAGATCCTCGAGGCCGTCGTTCGTCCCCGTGCGTCGCTCGCGGACTCCAGGCGCCTAAATGAGCACCCAGGACCAACACAGCTGCGTTCTGTGCGACTCGAAGCTGGAGTCCAAGGAGGCACTGCAGGAGCACTTCAGGTACGCTCGGCCGCGCCTGTCGAGTCATGTAACCAAGTGTTCGCGCGTGTTCAAAACGTAAACTCGACTTTAAGGCCCGGTCTACAATGAGTCGTTAGTCAGAAGTCGCAACTATATGTTGATCCTTTTCCTTTCTGGGTGGAAGAAAAAGGACCGACATATAGTTCCGACTTCTGACTAACAACTCATTGTAGACCGGGCCTAAATAAATTTGTAAAGGCTTGCCCGGCAAATCTTCCGGTAAACGAACGTAAAATTTATTACTCGTCTACCTTTTAAATGAGTCTTCCATTTCTTGGCGCGTATACAGAAAGCATGCAAACAAGACGATAGACATGCGCGGGCTGCCGGTCAGGAGCAAAACCGAGGACACTCGGTGCGACATATGCGGCCAGTCGTTCGACTCGATACCGGCGACGCTGAGGCACAGATTCAAGGTGCACTCCAATTTGTCGACCAAGTTCTACTGTTCCTACTGCGGAAAGCAGTTCCCTCTGAAGGTGAGCGCTCTACGGTACTCCCTTCTGTTCTGTAATAATCTCGTGAACAACCGCCGGGATTTTTTCAGAATCACCGGGACAATCATCAAATCTCGCACGACCCGACCGAGAGCGAGAACAAAGACCAGCACAGAAAGTGCGAGGAGTGCGACGTGATATTCTACAACGGGAAGGCACTGGACTACCATTATCATTCCGTTCACAAAAGGTAGGCGCTCGGTCGAGCCACCTCTTCGTGAACGCTCGTGGAGTTCTTATCCGACCGCTCGCATTTCAGAATGATCCACCTGTTCCAACCGATAGCCACTCCTCCGCCCAGCAACAAGATCAAATTCAACTCCATGAACGACGCACTGAGCGTGTACTATTGCCACTTGTGCGGCGTCGAGTACGTTATTAAGTTCAACTTGCAGCAGCACTTGGAGAAGATGCACACGAAAGTAAGGAGGACAATCGCTCCTTACGGACATACAGTTTAAAAGCAGGGTCGGGCAGTGACTCGTTACTTGTAATAACGAAGTTACAGTTACAGTTACTTTTCTTTTGTAATTTAACTTCGTTACTTTCTCCATCTGTTACTGTAACTTAACTCGGTTACACCTTTTCGATAACTGGTAACTAATTTAACAGTTACTTTATATATTTTTTAAATCTCCACAGAGTGCATCAGGCCTTGCATTTACGCATAAACGCGAAAGTAACTGTAAAATAACGATTCGTTACTTTTCAGAATCGGTAACTTGTAACTGTAACTAGTTACATTTTTAGCGAAAAAATTGTAACTGTAACTAGATACTTTTATAAAGTAACTTTCCCAATCCCGTTTAAAGTTACCACTTGCTGTTCCGAATGTCAATAAACGGCTGTGGGATACAATTAGTTAAAAGATGAGTGTGTGAGTGACCAACTCACGAGTCAAAAGACATCACTACGTTACCAAATTTTCAAGTTTCTTCGACGAGCAATTAAAAAATTGTACGTTTCGACCTAACTTGGGCAACTTCCGGTTATCTCTAACATTTAGAAATAATTTACAATTAAAGAATGTAATCGATAATTCTGGCATAGCCCTGTGCGTTTGAAAACTCAGATATCTCTCTACAATGCGTTTTGCAGAAAGAAAGGGACGCCGTGCCGGAGGATTTGATCAAGTGTACGGTGTGCGCGGCGTTGTTTTGCAGCAAGAAGGCCTACAACGTTCACAACAGTTACCATCATCCCGACGATTTGTACGTAACTTCCGAGCAGCAGAGAATGCAGACGGTAACAAAAATCGATCAAGATTTCGACATTAGGAGGGTGGAGTCTACGGCTGGCAAATATGTGTTGCGATCTAAATCGAAAAGGACGATTGAGGACACGACAGAGGTAAACCATAGCTTTACACCCCTGCTTCTGTTGCTCGTAATCTCAGCACAATTTGAAATAGTCCAAAATAAACACGAACCCCTCGATTATGATACAAATGCGATACAAGTGCAACACCAGTACGATCGTAGTAGTATATGATGTTGTAAAAAAATTTATATATAAAAGTATATTTATACAGATTTAAGCTAATATAATTTACATGAACGTAACAGCGTGTACTTTAACATAATAAATTATGTGAATTTAGCCGGACAAAGTGCAGAAGACTGAAATTAAAGTAGAAATAAAGAGAGAGAGGTCTGTGTCCTTGGACGACCTTGTCGGCCCCAATGAGTTCAGCGATTCCGAGAGCGACGTCCCGTTGGAGCGAAGGATCGCCAGCTAACGGAGGTTTTTCTTTCCAATCGCAAAAGGTTATCCCTATCTCTGTCTCCTCGAGGGAACTTTGTTGTACGAGAGACTCGCAAGCTACCGCAATCGTGATAGTCGTCCAACCTGATTTCGAGCTTTTTCTTTACAATTGTTATTACGCATGTACGCATATTATACGAGGTAGATAGACGTGAAATTCCAGTAGGGCGATTGTACATTTATTTTTAACTTTAACCGCGAATCAGCATCGCGCATCGCTCGTGCACAATCGTTTACAGAGCGCCTCTCCTTCGGGGCTGTTTCTTGTTGAATCGTGTTTTGTGAACACTGATATGTGTGGGTCTTAATTCAATTTCTCATTAGCCGAAACGGCAGAAGACTTCTCCCCTTGTTCACTTGAACGCGCTGTTCCTACGCACGAGCGGTCGCACAGTTATTATCGGCGAGTCAATTCTGTATCTTGCGATATAGTGAAAATGCTAAAAGTGAGCGGTTTTATATTATATTATATATATTATAAATATTATATATATTATATATATACACGTATGTGTTCGTTAATTGAGAATATGGCCCTGCGCACAATAGTCTCTTTTTAAGGAGACATAGACAAGGCTACTCTTAGCATTTTTCACTAAAGTGTAAGATACAGAATTGACTACCAGTGGTGATTCTGTGACTCTTCACGACAGTATCGTTAGTCATTTATATATTGTTACATGGTTGGTGCGCAGCTTTTTACCGTACGTCTGTAACGATAACAACACTGCGTTAACGCCCAGTCTACAATGAGTTGTTAGTCGTTAGTCAGAAGTCGGAACTATATGTCGGTCCTTTTTCTTCCACCCAGAAAGGAAAAGGATCAACATATAGTTGCGACTTCTGACTAACGACTAACGACTCATTGTAGACCGGGCCTAAGAATTACAGAATCGCACATCATACCTGGATACAATGAACATTTGTATCCTATGAATATTTGAATGCGTCCAGAAACAATTGGGTATATCTTCTGGGCACGATTGTTCATTTTACTTTTTTACTTCTTCATTACAGCGTGCATGCTTAATGCAAGTATTTGTTTTATTTGTCTTTTTTTCCCGCCATTTTCACGATAGCGATTTGTATCACGAATTTTTATGTATAAAAAATATATATATACATGTATATATATATGCACACGTATGTGTCCGTTAATTGAGAATATGGCCCTGCGTACAATAGAGGAAATGTTAGGAGAGCCAGAATAAATGCCAATTTTCCATACCAAAAAATCCACATTTCTAAAATATAAATATGTTAAGCTATTAATGCGCGCCAGAATTATTTATATCTTGCATTTAATCCTGTCTCATTGCGCGTTACATGCAACCTCTCTTCTTTCTTCCCTCTCGCAACACTTGATATTTACAGATAGGTTTAATATCGCCAGTAGTTAAAAACTAATGATATCTAACTTAAACGACCCACACTGGCCGATGTTTTTGTTTTAAAAACAAAACTCGTTACAGCGTTTCGGTCCCGGATTTGGACCAAAGTTTGGCCAATACTACTATGGCCGGTATTTATAGTAGATCATCTTAAGTATACTCTTAATGTGTTTTTAACCAATCACAGAGCCGTGTTAGCTTAAGGCAACACTTGAGAGAATTTTCAAATAAGAATCGACTATGAATACCGGCCTGTGACAGTAAGCTGTGTGCAATCAAGTATGTTTATGCCTTGCTTGAACACAGCTTACTATCGTAGCGGTATTTGCCAAACAATTAATATGCGATCTTTAATAATTTTGTAACAGGTATGAATTTTGTGGTTTTGTTTTCGTTGTAATTATTTTATCAACCAATGTGTGTGCAGAGTTGTACACGATTTTTTCAGTTTACTTGAGAAGAGTCCAAATCCGGGACCGAAACGTAACGTGTTTTTTAAAATAAGAACATTGGCCAGCGCAAGGTCGTTCAAATTACATATCATTACTTAATAAATACATTTTATTGATGGCGTTTTTGCAGGAACGTACCCTCTTGTAACACCTCTCTCTATATCCACTTTGCTACGTGGCGATCGAACGAAAAACCAACAACGTTTTCTTTGGTTTTGAACCCGGATTTTCCGATTACCAGACCAGCGCACAATCCTTAATTACTTAATATTTACTCCTCGTGCTTCCATTGCGCGCGGGGCCAAGGACCGACCGCTCTCTTTCGAATCCCGTCGCGCGACTCAACCCCGGCGCGAATTTCGTAAAACCCGCGCCGTCCCTAGGGGAAAAACCCCGCCCCGCCGCGGCGAGCTCCCCAGATTCCCCCAGGGGCCGCGCAGAGAGATCTCGAGGCGCGCCACGCTGGCGACTTCCGGCGTCGGCCGCGGAACTGCGGAAGCGGCACCGCCGCCATTCTGCATTATCGGCCCTCGCGTGAGTGCGTGTGTGCGTGTGTGGTGTTGCGATTTGCCCGAGGTTCTCCCGTCTCGCGCCGCGTTTTATACTTCGGCACGTCTACCGCGGAGATCGTCCCGCGGAGCAGGGTATCGCCGCCGTTAGCGACAGGTCTACGGTAATCCGGCAGGATGGGCCGCAAGAAGAAGAAGCAGTCGAGACCCTGGTGCTGGTATCCTTTTCGTTTCCTCGGCAGGAAGACGACGGCTGACGGCCGTCCGCGGCGGTCGCTCCTTTACGTAACCGTAAGGTCTACGACGTTGGCCGACGCGGCGAGAAACGATCGCGATCGGCCGGTGCCGCGGACGGCTGTATCCTCCTCCGCCCGCCCCCTCCCCCCGCGCCCCCTCTCGCCCCGGAAGGAAGCTCGCGGAACTGGAAGCCGCTGCGACGTCCGCGGAAGGCGGGGAGATCGATACGCGATTTCCTCGCGTCACCGCGGCACGCGACGTGTGTATGTGTACGTGCCTCTACGTGAGAGAGCGCAGCTGTCTCCTCCGCTGTTTCCTCGCGCTCACGCGGCGCGATGACGTAACGCGGCCGAGAGGGGCTTCCACGCGGCGACACGGGCAGATCGATGTCCCGCGAAATTAGGCGTAATCTTTGCGTCTCGGCCGGGACGGCGGACTCGCAATTTCAGGACGGCGGCTGCGAAATGTTCTGCCTATTGGTAGCAGTAAAATCACTTGCGTGTGCCTGCGCGCACGTTCGCACGTTGCAAACGTTGTCATTAGGCTTGTTTTCTGTTCCTACACTAGTGAACTAGTGCAATAAATTGGAGTAAGATAAGCATATTTTTTCTCATTCTAACTTACTGCACTAGTTCACCAGTGCAGGAACAGAAAACGAACCCTTTGTATACTCGTTTTAAGACTCGAGGCACAAGACGGTGATTGCGCGTCGCTTGAAGCAACAGTATATAAAACATTGTCTTCGGGTGGGAAGGCATCGGTGATTCCTAGTCCACAAGTCGGTCATTCTGTTAACAAAGAGCCATAAACTTTGTATCTTGGGTTCAAGGTGATGCTTCTGCTTGGGGTTCCGTGCTCAAGTCTTTTCCAGCTGAGAAGCTTGCCCGAATTTTCGTGCGGGCTGCTCAAAAATGTGCGAGATTTCTTCGGCGACTCGTAAACGCATTTAAACACCGAGGGATCTCTGAAGTCTTAACGCGGAGCCTTCTACAGCTGCGCTCGGCATTGCAAGTCCGAGGCGCCGGAGCGCTCTTTTGCATTCGAGCGAGCGAGAGAGGAGAATGAGATAGAAAGTGGGGAAGAGCAACTCCTACGCCTGGGATTTACGATGCCGAACGCAGCTTGTAAAGAATTTACTGGAGGGGAATCAATGGAACTGATTGTGCGAAGTCACGAGTAGTCTATGAATGTCTTTTTCACGAGCAGTTGGTAGTCCGAGAGTCGTGCAGCTTTGTACGACTTGCCTTAAACAGTGTTCAGTTTGTAAACTGGACGGAGAAATGGTTGGAGTTTGTTTGATGATGCGACAGTCGTCTCGAGGGTTTGCAAGCTATTTGTATCTTTGGCCTTCTTCTTCCTTTTAAATTAGCCTTGAGCCTGTTTTTTTTCCCCCGAGTAATTCGTCTCTTGGGATCCTGGTGTCCAGCTGCCCATCCATCCCTCTGGGGGTCTTCTGGATGTTGGTCTCCCATCTCTTGCTGTTCTTGCTATTCTCTCCTCCCCCATTCTGGATGATGATCGTTTCATTCACGTCTTCTCTGTCTTAAGCCTCGTCTACAATAATCGCACAGATTTTGTATACCCTGACCTTGGCTTCCTTTCTCATATATTTATTACGCCATATGGTTTCATATCTTTGACCGTTCGTTGGAATTATGAAAACTTGAGGAGATTCTATCCGCGGTGGTTTGCAAGATTGGCTTAAACAATAATACATATTTTTCCGAGTCACTAGAGTGTTTTTCAAATTTTTTCAAGCGAAACTTACTCTGAAAATTAATTTGAAAGACAATTGTGAAAAAGCCTAATTTTACGGGACAAACGTTGATCTCTGTTAACTTTTTATGCGATTTTTCTCGCAAATTTTACGAGCATGAATTCTTCCGGGCCAGGATAAAATTAGATATTTACAGAGATCTCATTCTTTGAATTTCCTTAACGCCACACTCGAAAAGGTATTGCAACCGTGAATTCGAGGACGAGAAGATCCTCATTCAACACCAGAAGGCGAAGCACTTCAAATGTCACATCTGCCACAAGAAGTTATACACTGGACCAGGGCTCAGCATACATTGTATGCAGGTAAATAAGACTGCGTGCTCGCTACCTTTCTCTACCGCTTGGCGCTTCAACATCGATACAAGAGTCTCGTCTTTGCAGGTACACAAGGAGGCGATAGACAAGGTACCGAATTCATTGCCAAATCGTAGCAATATCGAGATAGAGATCTACGGGATGGAGGGTATCCCGCCGAACGACGCGAAGGAGCACGAGAGGCAGCGAAACGGCGGCCGGCCTGGCTCGCCGTCGTCCGGCGAGGACGAGCCCGTGCAGAAGAAGGCGAAGCCCGAGGGTCTGCTGGGCTCCGCGCCGGGTGCGATGCCCGGTATGGCGGGCGGTCTGCCTGGAATGCCGCCGCAGCCGGGTATGCCGCCGCTACCCGGTATGGCCCCGCACCCGGGCATGGCGCCGCATCCCGGCATGCCGCCGCATCCTGGTATGCCTCCTATGCATCCCATGATGCCGATGGGTCACGTAGGACCTCCGTTCATGGGCCCAGGGTACGTGTTCCTCGATCAACTGTGTACCATTGTTGCCTCGAATGTACTACTTTCACTTTTTAAATCTTTATGTCCACTCGACTGAGGATTGTCGACTACTCGATACCAGCCCGATGAAATATTTTGCTAAAAGTCGATGATAAGTGAAGCGAAAAGCTATTAAAAATTTACCGTATGTCTTTAGTCTTCATGGCTTCCGGATGGTTGCCGCGTCCGTTTGCAGTGTGGTGCCGACGTTTCGCAGGCGTTGCAGTCTACTTCATCAGGGCTGGGAGACTCTGATACTGATACTCAGTAACGCAACGCCTGCGAAACGTCGGCACCACACTGCAAACGGACGCGGCAACCATCCGGAAGCCATGAAGACTAAAGAAGACAACAGCCGCGAAAGCCTGAAAGCCAAGATTTACCGTATGTGTATGTCTTATAAAGGTTCCTTGTAAAAATCAGTATAATACTGTGAAACATGAAAGGAAATCTAAAGTACACTTTAATTGTGAACATATAGTTATTACATTTTACTTATATAATGTTATAAAACTATATGTAACTGTATATTAACTATAACATAACCGACTGTTAGCCGTTGTGCCATACGGCCGTGCTTTGTAACATGGAATCTTGACGGATATTTGTTCAAATTTACAATTTGACTTGGATATATCTTGCCTTTTTGTATGTTAATTCTTGAAAGTGACCACAATCTGGATGGTCGAAATATTTTTGATGGTTGTAATCTGTTACATAAACGCTATCTGCCAGTTGGTTCACCTATAATCGTCTACTCTACATTCGTTAATTATGTACTGGCGACAATGAACTTTATTCCTATTAAAGTACTATACTCTTAAAAAGTAATGAAGGAACTACGAAGTATCGGATGTTAGGAAATTCTACATGTCAAGTAACCTTGGCTTCGTCTTTGCTCCGTCCACAAACGATGAATAATCTTTACATGTTCGTTGGTAGAAATTGTAATTAAACCTTGGCGTAACCTGGTCTCTTCTTTTCCAGCATGATGCCCGGCATGTCGGGCATGCCTTCCGGTATGCAGCCGCCAGTTTCAGGCGCGTCGATGCCGCCGGCGCGCCCGCTGTTCCCGAGCGCCGCGGTCTCGACGGCTGCGGCATCGACGGCGGCGTCGGTCACCGGGTCCGCGCCGCTTGGCACAGACTTCAAGCCGATCACATCGGTGGCCGGCGGCGGTTCCATAGGCCCGGTAAAGCCGACATTCCCCGCTTATAGCAGCGCTGGCGAGTCCGGCGTCGGTACAACCGGCAACCACAGTCTCATGGGCGGCGATCAGAAAGTGAATCTTATCGCGACCACCGGGGCCGCCAGCAAGATCATTCACCCTCCGGAAGATCTCAGTCTAGTAAGTCGCAATTGCTATTCCTCGCCAAAAGGATTGTCCGAGCAAGTCGGGAGATAGTCCTGAACAAGCGGAGGCTGAACCGACATATAGATTTTACAACAATGCACTCGTCTTCCAGGAGGAAATCAGGGCAAGACAGCCAAAGTATCAGCGCCGTCAGACCGACGAGTCCGGACGATCGACACAATCGGAGGCCGCGGTAGCGGCGGTGAGCCAGCAGCAGCAGGCCGCCGCCCTGCAGCAAGCGGCGGCGCAGCAGCAGCAGGCGGTGCAGCAGCAGCACCAGCAGCAGCAGCAGCAGGCGCAGCAGCAGCAGGCGGCGAACGTGGCGGCGGCCGCGTTCCAGGCGGACCAGCAGCAGCGGCAGCAGCAGGCGGCGGCGCTGAACGCGCTGCAGCAGCAGCAACAGAGGTTCCCGCGGCCGCCGCAGACGGTCATGGTACCGGCCTCAGCCGCGGCGATGCCGGTCAGCTCGGTCGCGCTGATGGCTCCCCTAATGCGACCCACCATGACCCTAGCCGCGCCTGCTCTCATTCATGGAGGTAACATGATGCGACCGCCCCCCATGGGCCTGCCGCCAGGTAAGTGTCTGCGGGTTTGAGCCTTACGAAAGACTCTGCCCGCCACCCCCCCCCCCCCATTGCCCCGCCACCCACGTCTCCGCGTACTCGACGAACAGAGCTTGCTCTGCCTGTCTTCTTTGTCCCCCTCTTGTCGTTGAAATTTACGAATTTCCCCTCTTCGTACTTTTTGTCGATTTTTTTTCCAGTGTCCCCGCCTCGCCCCTTCCCCCCCCCCATACCGGCTGAAGACTGTAACTTTAATCGGTGCACGAACAAATCGTATCGCGGTCAGGGTTTTTTTTTTCTCCCCCTTTCATCACGCGCGAAGTACCTCGGATAAAGTACATCGAATTGAGAATCTTGCCCCGTTTTCGAAAGCAACCTCACCCCCCCCCCCCAGGAATGTCGTCTTCTTTTTCTTTTTTTCTTCAAGGATATCGCATACCCGTAATCTAACAGTGTCGATTTGCCACGCTGTTTTAATGTAGAAAACGAGCGTTTCCGATGGAACGTTTGCACCCGACGACAATTAATTAATTATCGAAAATTGATGTGTCGAATTAAACGGATGCTTATTAGCAACTTCTAGAGAGCGGTGAGCAATTTAACTTCGTCGACCTCGGAAATCCATCGGAAATGCGACGTACTGTATCCTTATACTTCGTGAACGCAACCCTCGTGTATATCACCTTTTACCCGGTCCTACTCGGTCGACGGCCGGGAAAGGAGTTTGCTGTCCACGAATGAGAAAGAGACAATGTCGGATATTAACCAAACGGTACTTTGACATGCCCTAGTTCAATTCGTATGCACGTTGCACTGCAATTCGCACTAATCATTCATAACAACAGCCACTTCTGTCCCTTGGGAAAGGAAAAAAGAACAACTTACGCGCTAAAAAAAAATGAGAGAGAGACAACGAGAGCGCCGAGACAGATAAACCGGAAACAGACTTGACTTTTCATCAGGGGGGAAGGGATCGGAAAAGAAAAATTAGACGACAATGCGCGAAAGATTGCGTGCACACCCACTGACTCGAGACGGCAAAAAGAGAGCGAGAAAGAGAGAGAGAGAAAACGAGGCGGGAAGGGTATCGTGACTATTCGGATAGAAACTGTAGAGATCAAGATACTCACGACCGAATGATACGCCACAGAATCTCGACGACACTGCGTCTTGTAGTCCTTGTTCGTTTATACGTTTTAACGGTGCGTTTGCAGGGCGCCCGGTCACTCCTCGATGAGTGTCGAACGAACCCAGTCTGGTTACTAAAACCGTGTTTTACAATACAAGCGCTACAAGGTTGGTCCTTAGCAATTAGCATGCGGTGACATGGCCTATATCTATACATATATATATCTATATATATATATCTTGTTATATTTATTATTCTTATATATTGTTGATTAATCTTGTCATCATTGTCATTAATACACCTACATGTATATGCGCATATACGTGATATATGTATACAGTGACTCCCGAAGACTCGTAACGACGGCGAGCAGGAGACTGCTCGAGCAGCTTTCGCGAGCCACCGTGTATATACATTTCTGTATATTCGTAATATTTTATCACTCTGGGCAGGTGGGTCGAGCGGCCAACGACACGTTCCTTCTTCCATCTCGGCTCCGATTTCTTCGACGGATTTGCCACAATTGTGAACGATTGTCGAGCACTCGTCGGGCAACTTGATTTTCCCGAGAATGCCCGACCGCGGATTAAAGTAACCGAGGGTCGGTATTGGAAGATACATAGAAAGTAGCTGTGTGTATCGCTGAACGATCGCTTCCAGTCAGATTGATCGGAACAATTGGTTACGTTGATCGAAACTTGACTTCGACTGGATGCGAAAATTATATGATTTGCGAATACGCGGACAAGTAGAAATTATTGAGGCCGAAACACCGGTCTCTGAAGTGCATCGTGTCGATCAGAATCATTAATCGGAAACATAAACAAATTATTCCCCTTTTATTCGCTAAAATCGCACAATATTAAATCCATACTCGTTACGCAGAAATCACCGCAATTATTTTATCGCTTTATTATTGTCCGCGATTTGACGTGGAATTTCGATAATTACTTAATCGACCTATTAATCTTCGAAATTTTGTCGTAAGAGACAATTTTATGTGATAATAATTTAGTACTTTTCAAAGATATTAATTGGATTCAATGGAGGTTTTTTTTTTTTTTCAATCGATCGTTCACCGATGCACACGTCGCACCACGTTTCTAAATTAATATTAGCCTCACATTGTGACACGTGGCTTTCCATTCGCGATTTCACGAAGTTTTACTTATTTTTCTTTTTACTTTTCTACGACGGCTTGATGCCCGTACGGCTCCTAGTACAGTTTCTCGTACGGTTTATTATGCGAAAGACAAAGGGAGACTTTCCGGCCGCTCGGCTGTTACAATTTTTATACATCTCTTTCATGTATAATTTCTTTGTTTCTCCTTTCCGTTCCGTTCTCTGCTTCTTTATTCACACTCTCTCGATTTAACCATGTTACTCTTCTTACGACTCACATATGCCATTATTTACCTCGCCAGCAGCCGTGTTACCATCTTGTCTCTTCAGTATTACTTATATATTATATATAGCTTGGAATCCTGGTGTTGTGATATAGTAGTGGAGAAACTGCTTCCTTGGGCACGGTACTGACAGTCGTTCGAAGTTGTCGTTCCAAAGTGATGAGAACCAAATGATAATTGCAAACGATAATTGTTTTTCTCTCACGATCTGTCCCTTCCTTCTTCGCATTTCGATCGACCGAATCGTTCGGCCGGATCACCTTTCTGTCACGGATTCTTTGACTGATTTAATCGTCACTTTTCCGACGACAATACGAGAGGATCAACGAGCCACGTTGAATTATTGAATATGCAAGATTGCGAAGCCGAGCGTCCGACATTTAAATAATAGAACTTCGAAGCTGCGAGATTTAAGTAAACGTCAAAACCTTTGTTCTCTCCAGCTTCAAACAGACTTTTCTTTCAACAGATCTACGATTTGAAAATTATCGAGATGTCGGTCGGTGTTCAAACTCGCGAGGAGCGAGAATATTTTTATTTAGAAAAAGAAATCGACTTTAAAATCGCTGAAAGAATCCGTGAGTGACAAGCGGCTCGCGAAATCTGGAGTACATTATAAAGTGCATTAAAATGGAGGGAAAAAAAGGAAATGCAAAACGAGATATGTATGTCGCGAAGAGGGAAAGGATCGAATTGTGTTCTCACCGTGCTCGCCGGTGCATTTTACTTTATTTGATTTTATTTTATCTTCATGGAAAGCAAGAAACTAGCAACGAGAACGAACGTAATGTATCTCCCTCACACCATAGCCTAGCTTTTGTGTTACACAATGAAAGATTTTAGATAAATTGAGCCGAGCAACAGTAAGTAAACGACTTCACGTTACCTAGTATATCTCTCTTGCGTTCAATTGGGGGTCCGAGCAACATGACTTTTCTCTTTTAACACGCCACGCGGTACTCGCGGAGTAAGCTAAAAATATATGCAGGGTGTCCCATTTTAACTTGGACAGTAAAATATCTCGAAAACTAAGCCCAGCAAACGAAAGTGCTTCAGACAAAAGTTGTATTGTTTCGAGGGCACCGTCGTATGTCCCCCCTTTTTTTTTGTTTGCTGGGCTTAGTTTTGGAGATATTTTACAGTTCCAAGTTAAAACGGGACAACCTGTGTACAAAAAGAAACGGCCAGAAGCAAACGGAGTGCAAAAGTAGAAGAAATTCGCTGCCGATTTTTCTCGCGTCGGAGCGGCGCGTTGTCGAGAATTTCGAAGCAATTATTTTCACGCTGCTCGATCGTTGCTGCGACACAATGAAGGAAAGAGGCAATGCCGTAGTTCGTGCAACCTCCGAGTGACCGAGTGCGTTTTTGGCGGCGACGTCCTCGTTGGCGGAGGTCGACTGACAGCTGACAGCGATCCCCTCGCCGGGCTTCCGCAGTTCTGATATTTTCTACACGATATCGAGCCGATGTTGCGTCTTCCCACCTTCCCCCGCGTGAGACTCGTTCCTTGTATGGTGTGAGGTTTTTCTCTGTGTGGTACCACCTACTTGTCAGTTTTGTTTGTGACTTGTATTGCGTATGCGGCGCACTGCATGCTGAGCTGAGTTCTACGTACGTTATGTACCTATATCGTATACGCATATCTAGTTTGGCGATTCGCATTCATCAGCGATTGCTGGGTAGAACGTAGCACGTGGGCTGCCGTGAACGGATCGACCGGGTACAGCACGGACCCTCGGATCTTACCTGAGGAGAGACCCGTCGCGAAGAGGCGCGCTTCTCTTAAAGGTCGGACACGTGTGAATTCACGCTCGGCCGGCTGACACGCTTATCTCGGCAATCTCGGGGACGATCGCATGAAGCGCACTCCGATCGATCGCTCAAGGCAAACTGATTGAACCAATTGATACCTCGCGGACTCGTCCCGATGCGTATTTCTTTCGATGCACTTTTACAGTCGCCCGGCTGTCAGGCGACTTCCTTTTCGGCGGAACATGGGTCCGAGTTGTGGCATACTTTCGATCCGGACGCGCCGTGTCGGATCTCGAGTGAGAGATTTAGCTCGGTAATTAAATATACGTTTCTTGTAATCAATCTTGGAGAGACTGAATCTTGATTTAATAAACTTCAATTTCTATCCCTTACCTTTTTACGTTACGTATTTCCATTTTCTAAACCAGGATTTTGAGGAGTATTTCATTTCCCGGTCCATTGGAATTCTCTCGTTTCCCTTAAAGTGCCACGACGACTCCGTGACTTATTTTGCGCCGAAGGTCGCGTAGTCCTCCAAAAACGAGCTCGGTACGTAGCGACATTGCGACGTAAAGAAACAAAAAAAATTGGAACTGCGCAACACACGCAGGACCCATTGCTATCTTGTAACGTGAACAGTCGCGACGTAAGTATCCCTGGGGATCCTGATCCCCAATTAAAAGAGAGTGAGAAAGGGAGAGAGAGAGAGTGAGAGAGAGAGAGAGAGAGATAAGATCCTATCACTGGATCCTGCGAACAAGACGCCGTCTCGTTCGGCGGCGTCGGGCTCGAGTAATCGAAAGCACGTGTATGCCGCACGTGGGCAACTGTACTGTTTTCTTTGCCCCCCTGCCCGCGAGATTCGGCCGCGGGTCGTACTAATCTGTCGCTGCGTTGCTTTGCAGGCATGATAGGGGCCCTGCCGCCGGGTGCCGCGATGCATCCGGCCTTCGCCGCCGCGCCGATGGGCTTTCCCGGAACGATGCTGACACCGATGATGCATCCGCGCTTCAGATGATCGCCCCCCATGGACGGGCCCAACCCTCCGCCGCTGCACTTCGTGCTGTGGGCCCGCCCCTAATTTTCGCTGGGGTCTGGACCTGACCGAGGAAGAGACACGTAGAGTCACATACACAAACGAGACAGAAAGAGAAACTGAGAGAGAAAGGGAGGGAGAAAAAGGGAGAGATGATAATGAGAGAGAAGGAGAGAGAGAGAGAGAGAGTTCCCCGTCAATTCTCTCTCACGATTTGGTTTTTTCCCTTTTTTTAAATCATATTGTTGAGAGACGGAAAAACAAAACAACACTGAGAGAAAGAGAGAGAGAGAATGTGAGAGTAAAAGAGAGAATGAAAGAAAGAGAGAAAGAGAGACACACGCACTCACATAACGTCATCGACGTCTGAGAGGGTTTCTTCGAAGAAATCGGGTGCGCGCTGGAAACGGTCGGCTTTTTCCTTTTCTTCGCTCTTTACGCTACTTTATGAGGGAGAAAAAGATACGAACAGTAGGAAAGTGGACACGAAACGTTGATTATCCTCGTCGACTGCGAGTGTGTGTGTGTGTGTGTGAATATGCGCGCACCCATGCTACGTTGGTCGTGTGCCAGGTGAGCTTAACAAACTTGAGCAAGTTTCGTCGCCTTTTCTACGGAATGACGTCAAAGTAGTCTCTGTGTAACATGGAATACCGTCGTTTACTCTGCGCGAAAGCGCCAGCGCGAGCCGTCTTTGTCTATCTAATCTATCTATCTATCTATCGACTTATCTCGCAGTCTTTCATTTATGCATCGGACACCACTTGTACCTCTGGTGCCCATCGAGATGGCGTTTCTCATTCTCGTCACGATGATGACGACAACGCGACGCGCGAAGGGAAAGATTATCCTCTCATACGAGGGAGAGTCGATCTGAGGATTCGGTGCCAGAGTTGGTTTAATAAACCCGATCTAAAAAATCGCGTCTAAAATGGGCGTCGCAAATTACGGATTTGCCGCTGCATTCCCGTAGCGAATCCTCCAATCGCGAGTTCGAGGTAACTGTGACCGTTGCAATTTTCAATGACAAGAATCTTTGTGCGCGGTCATGGAGTTCTTGGTAATTTCGATCTGACTTTTCTCACGTGCGCGCAGCTTTCCTAAACGCAGTTGTATAAATAACGCACGCCGGCATATTGTTACGAAATTTTAACGATTCGAGAGATCGATACATTTAATATATTAAAAACGACGCCAAAAGAAAGATATATTTATTCGAAACACGAGAGCCCATCTTTATTTTGCGTTATTGTTACATATGACACGTAATAATTAATTATTATCGTTCTAAAGTCTTCAAGCTCCTCCGGTCAAGTGTGCGAGGATTCAATTCTGTCGTTGAAAAATCTGACTGGGTCACATTTATCCCGTAATGTCGCAAAACTGACACTGCAGTTCCTCGGGAAGTGATTACAACGACGAAGCGCCACACGCTTCCTTTCTCTCGAGAGAGGTCTTCCTTTTTCGCGCATTCAGACCGTTTCCATCACGCGCCGTTCCCCTCAGCCTCCGTGCACCTGCAGTATCCTCTTGGAGAGGCGCAATCGCGGATAAGGTGGCGCTTCACGCTGCAGCTGGATGACGATTCACTTGACTAACAATAGAGCTCGAGATGAGAGAGCATTCTCTCGAGACAGTTCCGTTCCGTGATGTTCGAATTTTCTTTTTTTTTCTAGATTTGCCGAGTAAACTCGAGGTAAGGATCTCTGGAGGGATCGAAGACGCGAAAGTACTGTCAGACTCTTTTTCCAAGGTGAACAGGGAAAATTAGACTTGAACTCGCTTAAGTAACTTGACGAAAACACTCGGAAGATTTATTTTATTTTAGATTTTCGAAAATAAAAAAAGACAAACGAGTTATAGATATTTAGGATAATCAATATTTAAAGGGAAGTAGCCTAACAGACTTGAGACTATTTATTACATATATTGAGAACCGGGTTTATAAGTTCATAAGTTGAGTCAGCAAATCTATGACGTTTTGCCTAATTGACTCTTTATTTAAAAAAAAAATTTCGTACTTTGATTTGATTCGATTCTGACTCGAGCGCGGCGCGTCTTCGATTTCTTTGCGATAGTATAGCGTGTTTTTTTGTTTGCCGGAATAATATAGCTTAAATTCCCGATGATTTTCATAAATGACGAAAGAAAGTAATGATGACGGAAAAGTCTCGGTATGATACACGTTTTAACTCGACCAGCTCTCACCAAATTGCCGTATCGTAGAATCAAGAGCATAGATCGTCGCAAAAGAGAGATCGGGTGTACAGTTTAAAACGCATTTGCTAGCCGCAGTGTGAAGATTCGGTCGCCTCAGGTTAGTCTGTCGCAAATTTTATTTTGTTAATGCTCCGAGTCGAGCCGAGACACACCCTCGCGACACGGACGGCAGAAAGCGCCACCGAATTAATTTGCCAAACGCAAGAAAGATGCGAATTTTGTTTTATTTAAAAAGTTTATTAATTTACAAAGTCAACAATAACAAAGTTAAATTGTTAAAATTTTCATTTGAAAAGAAAAGAAGACACAAGTACATGCTTCTCCTGCGGTTTGAGGCGAATGAAGATGTAAATGTGGAAGAATGGGTGGCAAATAACGTATTACTGATATAAGAAAAGTCACGATAGAAAATCAAAAGTAACAGTTGATCCGCGAGGGTGATTGACTCTGCTCAAGAAAGCCCCCTTTATCCCTTTGTCAAAGGAACAATGTTGGCGACGCATGAGTGAGTGGTAAGTACGGAGGGTGCTCACGGAATCGAACACCAGCTCTCTACACTCGACTCACGCCGTTTTCTTCACTCTTCCTTTACCACGTCTCGCCGTTTCTCACGCCGATCGTAGAGCGCGGCCGATTTCGGTCGGATCTTTTAGCTCGCGTCATTATTTCCGCCACTCGAAAAATCCGCTTCTACTTGGTCCCGTCGATAGATATTCGAGCGCGAACTCGCGATCTGCTCGGTAGTGTAGCCCTTGTATCTCAGCCTCGATATTGCACCTTGCTCTACGATCGGACACGCTCGATTCCTTCTCGTCCTCAAACTTGGCGGACTTTTCCCACTATGTCTGCAAAACTTGGCACACTCCCCCGAACTTCTTTTGTCTATTCTCTCGTCCACTTTACATCTCTTGCCTTCTTGTCTACTATACGCTCTTGTTATAATTTCTACTCAGGGTGTCTATTGATAACGCTGACCGAAGCGTCCGTTCCCGTTGCTTCTGTATCGTTAAAGTCCATCTATAAGACGCACTGTTCCTACAAGCTGTAAAAGATTGTCCTAACTTTTTGCAGTTAGTTGAGAATAATTGTATCGTTTTAATGTCTTAGCGCAGTTGAAATATTTATCGGTCGATGTCGAGTTAATTTTAATCCCAAGTCTCATCGTTTGTCTCTTTCCGGAAACTAGAACCGAACTAGAGGAAGAATAGATCGTACTGCGAGACCGAGGGGTCACGTCGGCGAGAGCGACTGCGTGTCGATCGGCCCTACCGATTAATCTCCCCGGCTCGTCGTCGGTCCTTTTTAGAGAAAGGAAGAAAGTAAATCCAATTATTAATTAGCAAAATTCGACGTACGTGTCGTTCGTCGCGCACCGAATTTAACTTTTCGGTCAACTTTCGTTCTAGGTTTAATCGATCGACCGTCCCTACGGACGAAAAGTCGATCAGATCTCGGGCCGAGATTTAAGCGAACGATAACGGAAGATATCGCCCCGTGTGCATACGCGATTGATTGTTCACGCCGTGATCGTTCGTAGCGTGGGCGCGGTGACGAAGACCCCCGATTGCTTCTCTGTGTTGTTGTCTTCAGTAGGCACCCTGCTGCTGGTTTTCGTTCTTTCGACCACCACTCTCGCCCACCGTCGTCGTCCGGTACTACTACCGACGCCTCCTCGACCAAACAAAAAAAAATACAGAAAAGAAAATACAGAAAAAAAAATAGAAACGAAAATGAAACAGCATTGAAAGCGCGCCGTACAACACGTGTACGTACCAATACATGATCTACGCATCGTTATTATAATTCTTTTATTTTTCAGGGGTTGTCTTTCCGAATCTCCCCCCGCGAACACTCTGTCGCTTTACTCTCTTGCTCTCGTAACGGTGCCGCGACCGTTCCGAGGGCCAGAGATTGTTGTTGACTTGCTCAGAGTAAAATTGTTAAGATTCATATACCATTGACAAACATAATTTTTTTTGGTCGAGTGCCAGTTTGGACAAAAATTTGGACTTGAGAGACGAGGGTTTCTATAAAAAAAAAAAAAGTATTGAAAGTGGGAAACGAAAGTGAACGATTCATTCATGGAGACTAGCACTTGCGTAATATCGCACCCGCTCTATTACGTAAAGCTGTCTTCGAGTGGCACGATCGATCCATCAAAAATCGAACCGGCTTTTGGTCGCGCGATTTTCTTTTGCGAATAGGAAAATAAAGTTAGAAAGTAACTTATTATTTTAATTATATACATGTATGTATTATATAAATAATTTTTATAATTGATGTAAAAAAGATTTGTTTGAATTTATGAATTTTGATAACTTCATAATTTTTTTAAAAGTCTAATTGGGCGTAAGATAAAGTCGAAAATTGTGCGAACCAAATCCGGCGGGGTCCTCGGTTTTTCTTTCTATCTTTCTTTGTTTTTCATTTTATTTTCGCGAAGAGAGAAGCGCGTTTTACGCAAAGCTTCGCGCTCCGGCGATTCGGCAGGACAATCTGACAGCAGAATTTTGGAGATGTAGAAGTTATATTATTTATTGAGTGTCATATTATCGACATGCTCCGAATAAAATAAAGAAAACATTTCAAGGAAAGTTCGAAAGTTTTGGGCATAGTCTGCTGTTCTGGGATATGTCGCTATAGCGATCTCACAATCGGTTCCTCAACTTCGCCGATCTCGCTTGTGTGACAAAGTTGACGGAATCTCACGCGCATCACATTCTTATAATTTTTGCAGTATCTGAACATATCGTATGCTTTTGTGTCTTGTTGTTCGAGCCAGAAATTGAGAAACGGTGTGATTTTTACCTGTTCATGACGTTATCGCTGGATCCGTATCCCAAAATTGCGGGCGACAGCCACATATTGTTTCAACCAATCACAGCAATCTCATCGCTGTTGGACCTAATCGGTCCCTTGCCTCAAGGCAGGCGATTGTTTGGACCTACCGTCCTAGAGTCGAGACAACCGAGTTGCAACCTCCCGATTTTCTCCGGTCGGAATCGTATACCGACGGGAAGAAAAGCGAACGAGCTCTCCCCTGAGATTTTCAATTTCCAGTTTTGGAATTCAATCAGGAGACTGGAAGAAAATCGAGGAAGCGAAAGTCGTGTTTGAAAAAAAGAATTCTAGGCACACTTGTATTTCTTATTGATTTTTATATTACTTTCAAATTAATGTTGCCGCATTTCGACTTGACACAGCTCGAAAATGTTAATCTTTTTGCAGCGTCGGTACACTTCCGTCTTATTTTACCGTCTTAGTATATTAGCCAATGTTTTTCTTCATATATTTTTTACGCGACAACATCGAAATGCATTTTGGCTTACACGTTTTCTTCCAGACAACGGCTCGATTCGGCTTTTCGAATTGCATCAGGAAAAGAAAAAAAAAGAGAAATCTGGGGGAGTGACGGTTCTCGGCTTGGCGGACGCGTGGCTGGACCGAGAAACAATATTAATAATCGGTTAATGAATCGCGGGTAATTCGTATTAACCGATCGATCGTTCGGAACGTCGAAACGAGAGAAGATTGTGTTCAGATGTGTAGAGCGATGCAACTAGCACGTATCTTTTGTCGATGAATTTTAATCCTTTCAAGACGCTTTCTGATCGCTTGGCTTTTGTAGAGAGACACGCATCACTAAATATCACTACCATTACGATTGGCAATTGTCTAGGCAATCGTTTACTATCTAAGGATTTTTCATTCCTGCCCAGCGGAGTCCGGGTCTTCTTTTCGGATCCAAGTATCTGGAACTAATCTTTAAATTCCAAAGGGAGGGAATAGTTATTTTGTTAATGAAATGAGTATTAACTTTGTAAAAGTCTTGTTTATCATCTTTTTCACTCGAAAGTCTATGTTTTGTTATTTATTTTCTAGAAAGAAGAAATATTTTGTAAAATATGATTGAAAATCTAACGAAGTTTGGGATGAAGGTACTGAACAATTCGTTAATCGATAGTTAAAAAAAAACCTTAGTCCAAGCAATACTTTGGCAATTATTAGCTATAGTATTTCCGTTACTTTATTTTTATCTCGTTGTTTAAAAACATTACTAATTTTCAAATTAATTTCAAAACTTTTCCGCGCACATTTCTTTTATTATTTCATTTATCGCATCGCCCCCAAAGTGTCGAAAGGATTAATGATGCATAATCGCGACCCCGGCTGCGTCTTCGAATAATCGTCAATATTTCAAAATTGCTTGCGCTCGGAGTTTCTCATTCTCTTGTGGTTTTTTTTTCTTTTTTCTTTCTGAATCGACGGCAAAATTTGCGAGAGTGAATTTCCGCCGAACAAGAATTTCGCAGCTCTCGTCTTCGACAGTTCGATCGTATCGTAGAATGCTTAGCTGGTTCTCTCTCTCTATATATATATATATATATATTATATGTGTATACCGATATCGTCCTGTATCCTTTGCGCTCGCGCGCAAGGACCTCGCCTCCCCCGTTCCCTTTTTAATATCCCTATGTCCCCCCTTACGCTAATAATGTCTTTACACTTGGTGACAGCGGATGCACGATATTCGCTCTCGTGGGGATCGCTTTTGCTCGACGAACCGGTAACACGGTCGCTCTTTGTCATCCTAATACTATTGTCCTGCGGCTCGGTCCATTCGGAAATAAAACACGTCTTTTCGGGATCATTCTGACGTCTCTCTCCCTCGTTTAAGGGTGTCGCGATGATCTGCGGGATTAAAATAAATGAAAATCGTCCGGTATCAATTTTATTTTTTTCATTTGAATGAATTTCTCTTCTTGTTATAACGTTGGTAATCACGTCACTGTAGAATAACGAAGAGAGATCTAGATAAAATCGATATTCCACTTTTTTTAAGCTTCGATTACTCCCGAATGAGTTTTTACTGTCGCGACTTTATCTCGATAGTCTTTTTAGGAAATGTACTGCCAGCAAATCTGTTGTTAATGTTTAAGCTGTTTTGCGAGTCTCAATAAGACTCGTGCGAATTGCGTGCAGGTAATTTTCCGTTGCAAGAGCTTAACGACACGTCGTCGAGGTGTTTTATCGCGTGTTCACTTAGGCATTTAACGGCGCGATATTTTAAAGCCACTTAGCCAGCTTCGCTTAATAAACACAGCGATGTATTAGAGAGCCGATTTGCGCGCAATTTCAACGGCCACTTTAACTTGGACGTGCTGAAAAAAAGAGGCGCCTCGCGAGAAAGCGAGGCCGACTTTTCGCGAACGCGACGATCGTTAGCGGGAGGAGGGCGATTTTGCGGATCAAGGAAAGACGAAAGTCTCGTCCCTGCTCGTCGCTTTTATTTCCGAAGCGAGGACCGACCGCGGACGCCTCTAGACGTAGCTTTCTATCCTTCTACAACCTTGTTGTTTTCAGCCGACTGCGTTACGAGCAGAACGGACAATAATGATCGAGGAAAGAAAGAGAGAGGGATATGAGAAAAAAAAAGTAGCGAAGTGACACGAGTGTGTGTATCCATTCAGACTGATCAATAAAATCATTTCAACAAGAACACCGAGCTATTTTGCGTTCGAAGTCGCGGCGTGTCGCACGAAGATCGAATGAAGCAGTTAAAAGAGACGGAAGAAAGGAAGAAGAAGAAACATAGAAATTGATGCAAGTGAAAAGATTTAGAAGGAATCAGGCTGTGACTTCGAGCGTAACAAACGCTCGTCTATTTTATTTTAACTACATGATCCTTGGCCATAAGAGAGTGTTTCGCTGTGTTAAGTACAGTCCTAGCGTAACGAGTGGAATCTAATTGAATAAATCAAAATCAAATCAAATCATTAGAGCTACAATTGAGTAAACTGAGTTGAACAGATGAGAGATAAAATTACGAAGTAGGAAAATTAATTCGCGATAAGGAGGTTTGCATTTTTGCAGGAAGCTTGAAAGAGGATCAAATTGAGTGGAGTGCGTTGGATTTAATTTGCGATTGAATTGAACTCGTTATTAAGTAGAAGAAATTAAATTAAACATAGCAATCTCTTTAAGTTGCCAGTCATGGATAACAATAATCAAGCTTTTTAATCGACATTTTTATTGCGAAAAATATTACCTCGGCCAGGATTTGAACCTGGACTTCCCCTACTCTCTAGGCGGGTGTCTCACCAATGCGACAACTCAGGCAAATTAAATGAAGTTAATTAAAGTAAGCAAGTCGCAATCGAGTCGAAGTGTGCGTTGCGTAAGACTACTTGTAATGATGAGAATTGAATTGAATTGAACAACAGTGATGGATTTATCGTCTCGCGCGAATGAAGCGAGTAATTAAATCAAGCCCGCGGAGTTCGCGCGGAACTCTTACGAGGCTCAGGGAAAAAGATCGCTCTGATAACTCAACTTGATATAACTTAAGTAGATAATCTCTCCTGCGAAAGTGGTTCACCGGTAACTTTCTATGAGCCCGTGGGTTTCTCATCGCTTTCGCGTTCATTTCCCTTCCTCTCTCGGCGGAAAATAATTTCTGCGATTACGAAAATTCACGGGACGATTTTCATTTCTGTCGTTCGACCAGCATTAATCTTATTGGCGGTGTATCGCACGTTACTCCGCGTGAAAAGTTTCGTTGTATTGTAACCGCGAAGAAATCCGCGCAGAAAAGTCATGAATGTTGTAAACAAGACGTATCGAGATGATTGCAAGGTACGAGTGAATAATTTTGCAATTTCTTCTCGTCTCGGTGGACTCAACTGAATCGGTGAGAACAGAGAGGGGACCCGTGACATTTTGGCCGAAATTAAATTAGCAATGCAGCCTCTAAAATCGAAATGTTAATACATTTTTTTAACGACTACCTCGAGGAATCTTCGGATCAAGGTATACGACGTAGCACAAAGTCTGAAAAATTCATACAAAGCACTTAATGTTTCTGAAATATATGATTCGTCTCGCGTATCCTTTCTATTCTGACGCGATTGAAACCTCACTTTTGAACCGTCTTAAGATCGCGTCTTGCGTAATCTGCATTGTTGGTAAAGTGTTAGTCCGAGGGACGGTTTGGGAATAAACTATCAGAAATTGATCGATCGATGGGACGTTCGGCCGCGGGCGAAGATTATACAACGACGCTCAGCCACGGGCGAGAGCGAGTTGCGGACACTCCTGCGAATGCCGATGGCATAGTTCGAAAGTCAAATGCCATGCTGCCTTTTCTGCGAATCAATAGGTGGCTTCGCCAGGTAAGCCTGTGCCATCGATCTGCCGGCCGCGATATCTAGGCCGGCGAATTTTCCTTTGTTCCCCGGAAACGCAACAGCGGTCGCTCGATCGCGTGTCGCCGGGGCGTGCGATGTAATTCGGTGACCCCTTCTCCTGCAGTTAAAAGGACATCCGGTTTCAGCCCCATGTACGCTCGTAATATCGCCGAGGTCGACGTTCGCGATAGTACGATCCGCATAATGTGAATGGAGTGTAGTACGAGCGAGACTATTTTTCATTCATCCGCGATCGTTCGCTCGTATTGTAAGACGCGATAAACGCGAGAATGTAATATTTAGCTTTGTAACTTCATCATCGCGATATGTTTCAGAGGAATCGTGCTCTTTCCAGATTTCTTAAGACCACCGGTAAATATCACAAGAAACGATAAATCTGTTTTTCTTATCGAACTTTGACCATATTTTAAAGTACGACCGTATTTTAAAACGCGCGATGCAATCGATTTAAGATTCTACAAAATTATTTTCACGATCTGTTTCTATGGGAAATATCTTCATGAATTTCATATTGGCTTTTTTTTCTTTGGTAATTATATGATCGATTCTTCGGGTAAAGAAACAAGGCCGAGTCACAAGCATCAATAATTAATTATCAATAATTAATCTCAAATCGATGGCAACGCGTGTGGAAAGAATCAATAATTAATTATTGATGCTTTCCACGCGCGCGATGCAATCGATTTAAGATTCTATAAAATTATTTCCACGATTTATTTCTACGGAAAATGTCTTCATGAATTTCATATTGTTCTTTTTTTCTTTTGGAATTATATGATTCATTCTTCGGGTAAAGAAACAAGGCCAAGTCACAAGCATCGATAATTAATTATCAATAATTAATGATCTCAAATCGGTTGCAACGCGCGTGTGGAAAGAATCGGATAATTAATTATTGAAAACGTGAAAAAAATTATTTTCACGATTTATTTCCAGGGGAAATATCTCCTTCGTGAATTTCTTATTGTAACACGATGATATCTTTTAGCGAAGACATGTAATTACAATTTAAGCAACGCAACGACATTGAGAACATTAATTACGCGATTGCCGGAGGAAGGAGCTGCTTTTCCGCTGATTGAACGTTTTGATTAATGTTTATCATCCAGAGGCGAACCGGTCGTCGGTTTAAAACGAGCTTCGCTGGCGGCATGACTTTATCGGGATTATTTAATCAACTGAAAGAATTAGACGCCGTAATTGCACGGTTGAAATATGCGGCCGGCACGTCTTCCGGGTGTTGCTGATAAGACTTGTGCGACCAACTTTCGAAAGCTCGCAGGTTGAAACTCGAGCCGATTGAATTACGTTCCACAACATTTCTTAAACGACAACAAACTACACAAACGTGAGAAGCAATTGGGCAACGTCTTAATTGCAAGCTTCAGAGATCGAAGAAGTTCAATCGCGTTATTACTATGCTAAAGAAAAGATTAGACGAGAAGGAAAACTAGGCGAAAGAAAGAGCAAGGTCTTAAAATTTACCGGAGGTTGAAGCCAGGTGAATAGGTGAGTCGATCGATCAACGGTGAACGGCAGGACGAGCTAATCAGCAGTGCCGGGCGTTGTTTTAAGCGACCCGTCGTCTGCACCCGACGTAAGAAGAAATCGAATAAAATTGAATTTTTCCAACGCAAGGGGAAGCCGACGGATATCACTAATTATTTACACATTTTGTGGCTCGATGTAACGAATATAATACGAGATGATCAGTAAGCGAGTCGATTGTGTTTTAAATATATTCCTTCGGCGATTGAAACGGGAAACCGGTAATTTAGAACTTCAGATCGGAGATTTATTTAGAGAAACCGCGAATATATTTGTCTAAGAGCCAAACGATGCAAAGACAACTTATCACGCAATGCTGATAATTGCGAGACGCGAAGATGTAAGTCGACCAAGAACCAGCAAACACGCCATCGAGACTAATTTGTGATGTTACAATTTTTACGATTGACTGACTTTTGTCTCGAGTTTGAAATCAGTCTTGTCTGTTTTTTTTTTCCCTTTTTCTGTCGGCGTAATGAAGGCCCAAACGTTTCATGCACGAGTGGCGGCGACGAGCGACGATGATCGTACGGCACTGACAATCACGAAAGTGAAAGCCAGGTGTAATACACCGCCAATCGACCTCGAAAACGCGTAACACTCCCGCGAGAGTAGCTACGCTAGTGCCAGGGAGATATTGCGCGATGCTGAAAAGGCTAGAAAAATGCTCAGGCGAGCCACGAGCGATAGGACAGATCCTCGTTCGCCGCGCGTTCTCGCGCGCCTCTCGCATCGGGATGCAAATAACGCGCTAATCTCACGGCGACGATGTTTCTCTTCATTGTGCGCTTAGATAATCGTCCAGCGGACTCGCTCACCCGGATGGGAAGACGGCGCGGCGGGCATTGTGACTGGCAATGGGAGAATTTTCTGAGGCGCGTTCGCCGGTCTATCGTTGTTTCTTTCGTTTTATTATTACTTTTTTTTTTATTAAAACCGTCACCGTTTTATTCACTCACTTTAACCGGCGAGTTTGCTTTGTTATTAAATAGCAAATGGATCGTGACTGCAGGAAGAGAAAGTATAGCGCTTGGTATCGGTTGAGATTAATTGTAATTAGTTTAATGCAGTTGTATATAATAACGGTTGCGTGATCTACGGAGGATGCATTGTTATGTCTACGTTATTTTTTATGTCTTTATGCGTCGTTAAAGAATGAAGGTAGCGTATGTTTTACTTCATGTATGCACACCGTTCTCCTAGGTCTACATTATTGGACGTAATTGTAATAAATAGGACGTCGTCGATATATCTCGTGTTACTCACAGAAGCGTCCTCGTCATTTCCCAATAATTCTCATTCGAACAATCCCTAATGTTTAGGAGAAAGGCATTTTTTTAAATTTACGTCGAATTTTTATTTCACACTTTTAACGGCGTTGGTAAAGACTTGGTACAATCGAGACGTTCACCGCGCAGTTAAATACTTTTCATCGAATACAATAACTCGTACCTTCTGACCCTTGACTTTACGATACTTTATGTTCGTTTATTATTTAGTTATTTAATTATCGAAATGTTCATAATCTGAAGAGAGGCAGGGACGATTTACGAACGTTTTCGTCACTGTTTAAGGTAGTTGTTTCGCGACAGTAATGCTCAAAAGTTTCCTTCAGACAGGCACCAGCGCTCAATTATTACAACGATATATCTTGATGCAATATTGTTCTAAAGAATACACTTACGATTAATACATAATGTAAAATAGATTCGAGAGATTATAGTTTGAGGCGCTGTTGCCAACATCTCTTACACTACACTCAATGTCTACTGCATAATTCTTCCTATTTTTCAGTTTTAATTCTTTATATTGTTGAAACGGAACGGTCAATAATTTTGATTTTGCTCCCAGTTGTTCGCTCTATTTTACTTTATAACATATTTGTTTCTCATACGGATCTCGCTCACCGTTAAGCTTAAAAAAAAATGTACCATCACTTGCGTTTGCAAACGCAAATGTTAATATTTTAACACATAATATATGCAAATAACATTTCACGTGTAATAATATTTTTAACGTGTGTCACACGTAATATTTCATGTAACGTAGCAAACTTTAACATTTTTTTTTAGAACTTCAAAACGGTCAATTTTAATTAGTCTTAATGTAAAGACTAAACTGTAAAAATGTGGAACGATTCTCATAAATGATTTTACGAAATAACTACGTTAAGGGGGACTTTCCTTTTCACTAGCCAAGGAAATATTATCTATGTCTCGGACAGCCCGAAGACAGTTCCACGTTGCATGGAGATCTCATTATCCTTCGGCAAGCTTTTTTGCGAGCGTTCTCTCGCCCGCTGTCCTCGCGCGTTAACTGGATCAATGAAATTTCCAGAGGGTAACCCTAGAACGCGACCTCGAGGGATCCGTGTGACAATCGCGTCATCCGCGGGATTGCGTTATCGATCAGATTTCTTCGCGATCGCCGCTTGTCCCCGCTCGTTAACTCGATTAATAGGCTTCCCTCTTCTTCTCCCCGTGCGATTCTTTGTCGCGGCGAGTCGACGCGGCCGACAGGTTTGCCGACCGGATCCTACAACGGTACCGTACGGCCCGCACCATACCCCAGGAAAACCGAGCGGCGGTACCGGCCAGATTCACGCCGCCACGCCGTCGAATTCCCAGTTTGTCGCGCTTAACCGGTGCGCGTGGTCCGACCTGTCGTTCTCTCTCGCGGAGGAACGATCCGAAGTGTAGTTTTTCACCCGGGATCGAGCGGATCAAGTGTAAATATTTATTAATCCTTACTCTCGCGTCTCCCTTCTGTGCCACGTGAATCTCTTCCGGAATATCGATGTAGAACTGCGGACGAATGTAAAAGTTACCGAAACACATAAAGAAACCGCGAACGTGAGGCATTGCAAAAATACAAGAGGTCCCCGAAGAGTGTTAAAAAATGAGCCTAAAAGGGAATGTTTCGTAGTCGCTTGTGCACACAGCGTGCACGGAATTTAAAGAGCATCGGCTAAAAATACATATCCTTTGTAATTACGTAACACCGTTGCATAAAATAAATACTCGGTTCGCACTGAATTAATATAATTACAAATACGATGTGCAATTTTATTAGCGCAGATCTCACCGTATTGACGTGAGAGTCCGAGAATATCTCCACTAAGTTTTGTTATTGTATCACTTGCCGTTCGCCATATTTTTCTGTCGGTTTAATTGCGTGGGTCATTTAAAAAGTTCTCGGGTCGCGGCAAAAATGGCGCGACGGGCATCAAACGTTAAATGGAAAGATCACTTGTCGCGTCACCTTTTAACTGTACTAATCCGCCACGTCATACCATTTCACATCATTCGGCGAACATTTTTTATTTCAACCTACTTCTGTGCCATGGGAATTCTGTCTCGCACGACTTACGTACTCAACAGCTCGCGAGCTACGCGCTCACGACCTTTTTAACGTCGTAACAAAGCGTCTCTTATCTCACATGCGTTTATTAATTTTGCGCTTTTGCCATTCGCGCGCTTTTAGTATATGTTCCTTACGATTTTACCGATTATCTTTCACTTATCGCCGCCCGCTATTTTGCGCTTTTCGCCTGCTGAGCACGAGCCGGTTTCGCGACCGAAACGTCTTAATTTATACTTTGCACAATGAAATTATTTTGACGCAAATGTCCAGTCACTCAGAGCCCTTTTATCCGGATTGATCTTTTTACTCGCGCGTACCTTTGCTACTTATTGAATGCAGAGGTCTTTCTGCGAACACGTGTAAAGTTCCAATTTGTTTCTCGCACGCAATAGTTTATTTTTAATAGATCTTTGAACGAGTCTGCGCGGATTTTTGAAAAATGAATGGAGCCGGCGATCAAGTATTGCGTGCAGAAGGGCAGAGCATCCCCCGAGACATTTCGCATATCGGTACGAATATCTCCCGAACGAATTATTCGAGTGGCTTTCGGACTCGCGAACTTTGCCGTTCTTCTGTTCGATAGAGCTGTCGTCGCTTTTCGATCGGCTCTGTTTCCTTCGAGGAATGAAACGAGTTTGATCGGCGCGATATATTTAGTCGGCGATAAAATGTCTACCGCGGGGGTGAAATGCAGTTCCTGCATGGTCGCGCGGTGGTAAAGAAAAAAATCGCGCGAAAGTGTTTTTGCCCAATAAGATCCAGCGAGGCCAGCGATTCCTCGTGGAAACTCTCGCGGCTTGACAGAAAACTTCGTTCCGTCTCGTCGCGAGCATTTCGCCCTACAAGGCTGCGCCATTAGCTCCTACATAGTCGTACTTTCTATTCGAGGCAGAAATCGCGCGTGCAATTTGAGGCGAAACTCAAGCGAAGCGAAACCGCGTTTCGATACGTGCGTTTTGTTTTTTCCGCCGGAACAATCTGCGACAATCCGAGGGGCAAACCGCGATTGTGGTAAAAATACCTCGCCGCACGAACCATTATAATCGTAATCGTTAACGTCGATTGACAAACAGAGAGAGAGAGAGAGAGAGAGAGAGAGAGAGAGAGAGAGAGAGAAAGGGATTAAATTTGGCATTAAAACTAACAATTCAACAATACGCTAAATAAATATAACAAATTGAATATTAATTTAACGATTAATATGAACAGTTCGATGCAACGTGGTATTGTATAAAAGAACCGGGATTTAACGACGCGTGAGTTCGTTTATGCACACGTTATCGGATACATTTGGAAATATCCGGTCGAATGAATAGTTAAATAAATTTTAGATGGAACGCAGAGATATAAACGCATATTTATTACATGGCGTTGCGTACAATGCTGGGTATGTGGGTAACTCTCCGGTATGAAATAACATATGTAACGGGCATGAGAGCGCGCTCGCCGTATCATTTAGCGGGTCGAATGTAAAGCGGTCGAAAAATCGATTGCTTTCTATGTTTCCGTTAACCGTGTTACGAGTTCGCTTGCTGAACATAGAAAATCTGTCGCGACGAGCTTTCTGTGCTGCGTTTCACTAATACGAAATTTGTTCCCCTCTCGGAGAGAAAGGACGTCGAATTTTCATGGTTACGGCGAGTAACGTCGCGTCGTCTCGATTAAAATTCACCGCTTCATCATGCGTGTATGGGTTTTTTTACCGCGAGCATTTCTTCCGCGTGTAAATGTATCACTGTTATCGGGGGATTAAAACAATTCGAGAGCAAATGAATAGGAAAGTTAAAGAAATTGCAATGTTTCTATCAAGAGAGTCAGTTACCTTGATTGATAATTTATTAATCTGTGTTGTTTATAATCTAATATTGTTATATTTAACATTAGGCATATTATATTCTATGCGAATTTCAATTTTTTCAATTAAACTTCTTATTGTTAATTTCTAATTCTAATTTAGTTTTGACTAATCAATCTTTATTCTCGATCTCGGTCTTTGATTTCGGTCGCTAGTAAAAAAACACATAAACGCTTCTCATCGACGATATTGAATTCACACGATACGCTTCAACGAGCCCCAGTATGTAACGTTATTTAAACTTGCAAATAACGTCCTATGAGAAAACCGGTAACGGGTCAGCAATAACCTTCGGCGATCCTCCAGCAATCACTCGGTGATGGCAAATACAACGCGAATGTCAGTTCTTCGCGAATAGCATGTTGGCACTTTTAGATTGTTCTTGCGTCCTTCTTCTTTTTTTTGCAATGACACTCAAGAGATACAGTTAACCATTTGAGTCTCCGAAAGATATTTGTAAAATATCTGCGTGGAAATTATAATTTCCAGGATATTTTATTTACAGATCATTTCGACGAATGCGAGACTTTTTTTAAAAAAAAGTTTAAATCGGCTCAGAGTAAATGTTTCTTGAATTAAACTGTCGATGCTAATCATTCTTTATAGAAAATTTAGGAATTTTAGTAAATACGCTTCTAGAATCATCAGGCGATGCTAATTTTTTAATTTTCGAAAATAATTATTAATGTTTGGTGAGGAAAAACTTGATTCTGAATTTATTGCGGTTTATTTTACTTTTTATCTTTAATATTGAAATCCTGCTAGCACCTCGTTGGTTAAAGAATCTGACGATGAACGATCGCTAAAGGCTGGACGATTTGCCTCACGATCAGATAAATTTCTGCAACGATCACGTTTCGGTTTGATGCTTCTTCGTATTCATCCATGATATACTTGAAAACTTGGAGACCGCCCAATTTCTGTAAGCGTCGACTCTAGTACCGTTGTTTCCGCGAACCGTTACGTCATTGAAAGGAATAAAAGAGCCAAGACATTTGTGAGACGCATGCGGGATTACTTTGTTGATTTTCCTTTGATTGCGGCTTGTCCTTGCTAGAATAAAGCAAGATATTCTTGCGTGAAGAAAGAGAATAAATCAGATAGCATGAAAATTTATATTTTAAATAATGAACATATTGTATAAAGTTTCAAGTATATTATAAATGTTAAATCATTTTCATGTATTTTAATAATCCACGCTATAAATGCTAAAAAAGACCTTCTGGCTTGCCTCAAAAGTGACAATGCTGACAATAAAGTATTACTATCGCAAATATATTATAAATAATTTATTGAACGGGAGATACATTGAACGACTCAGTAGCGAATGGCGAATTGAATAAACGAAAATAAATCATTGTATCGTAAAATATTCGAACATGATGAAAATTGAATAGAATATAATGCGATAGTAATATTTTATTGTCAGCATTGTCACTTTTGAGGCAAGCCAGAAGGTCTTTTTTCAGCATTTATAGCGTGGATTATTAAAATACATGAAAATGATTTAACATTTTGACAAGCTTATTTATACTTTGAGCATTTATTTTGTATGATAAACGAGCCAGAAGAAATATACTAAACTCATCATTATTGATTGCTCATTATTTATTATTCATTTTCACCTCGCGAGTGATTGTCTTTCACACGTGGGCGTTGATAGATAGACCTCGTTTCCGTGACTTCGCAATTAGTCACGCGTGTATATTAATTAACGAGTCGCGGTAACTATGTACCGCGAAGGCCATCGGCTTTCAAGGAAAAACTAGAAATGCAATCGCGATCTATCTCTTTCGCGATCCGTCTTTTTTTAAATCAATTTCCTCTATGCTTGTATCTACACTTGTATAAAACTATTAACTAAATAGACGTCAATGATAAGCGATACACAAAGCGATGCGTGTACAAACTCGTGAAACTCACGAGCTTAAGTTACTCTATTAACATAAAATCTACTGAACGCTATAATTCAGCCAATATTAAACTTAATTTAAAAACGTCATAATTTCGATTCAAAGAAACCTTGAACAAACGGGCAATATTAATCTCTCTAGAAACGGCCGAGAGATCTTCATTCCATAAATTTATAACGAAATGAATTTCGTATGACGTTCTTATCAGAATAATGACAATGCGGTGCCGGGCGTCGTCGATCATCGTCGCAGCCGCGTTTCTGATCGTCCTGTTGGACGGTGCGATCGGCAAGATGCGGGTCGCCTACCGATGGAAGCAGATCGATTACGAGTGGCCGAGCAACGACGTTAAGAGGGTCTTCCCGGATTACAAGCAGGAGGACAATCTACCCTTGGGTTTGGAGGTGGCCGGTGATCGGCTCTTCATCACGGTGCCGAGATGGAGACAGGGGGTCGCCGCCAGTCTTAATTACATCAGGCTCAACGGTGATTAGTCTCATCCTCGGAACAATTGCTCGCCAAAAGCCTGAGAGGCATTCATTTGCCAAGAAATATTTTTCATAATTTATCTATTTATATTTTTACGACATAAACAAATATTCAAGCGATTCGGCACAGCGATTTCATATTAAATGTTTTTTCCCGTGGATATAAACAGATTTAAATACTCCCGGTTGCACCCTCTCGACTTTCCGATGTCTGTCAAATAGATTTTCCCGTTGACTGCTGCAACTGTTGATTACCGGAAATAATTTTGCACGGGAGAATCCCGCAAAGTAGGCCGTTTTCAATCGAGAGGAAAACCAAGCGGGACTTGATCGACAATTCGATCTGTTACCTTTGTTCTCCGGATGTTGGCGTCGCCGGTATCAGAGCTCATTGGCTTTCAGACACGCGCGAATCGCCACCCCTGATTCCGTATCCTTCCTGGGAGGCCCATCAATACGGCGCCGCCGGCGTGCCGGAGATCGTCTCGACGTTTCGTGTGCGCGCCGATCGTTGCAACCGGCTCTGGATCCTGGACACGGGACTGACGGACATTCTGGGCAACCCAGAGCAACAGGCGCCGCCGGCGTTGATAGTCTACGACCTGACCAGCGATCGTATGCTGCGCAAATACGTGATACCGTCCGACCAGAGGACTGCCGATTCCCTGTTCGCCAACATCGCCGTCGAGGATTATTCGTGCGAGGATTCGTACGGCTACCTGGGTGACCTGGGCGGCCCGGGTCTCGTCGTCTACTCCTGGAGCCTCCACAAGTCCTGGCTCGTCAAGCATCATTCCTTCCATCCGGATCCGATGGTCGGTGGAGTTGAGCAATGCGCGCGTTCGTCTTTCGGTTCATTTCTTTCCGACCGGTTAACGCAAAAGCTAACGATCGCGCATGAATAGTCACTAATTTTGCGACACAACAAAATTATGGAATGTGTCACACAATCTTCAATCGCTGATCGTGTAAATTTGTTAATTTGATATGTAATTAGGTTTAAAGTGAATTTATTATTTTGATATACGATTCATTCATTGAGAGTACTCTTTGATGTACAATGGGCGGGAATCGTTGATAAGCCGAGATAAATACTGGGTCTCGTCCGAACGAAATATCATAGCGAGTGGCGCACCGTTTTTCTCAGGGCGGAGAATTCAAGGTGTCGGGGATATCGTTCCAATGGAATGACGGCCTGTTCGGGATGGCTCTTGCGCCGACTGGTGACGGGTACAGTACCATGTATTACCATCCACTCTCCAGCGGCATGGAATTTTCCGTCAGTACGAGATTGTTGCGCGATTCTCAGCGTGCCAGTGCGGCGGGTATGTTGTTTTCTTTTAAACGTCACACGCTTGGGAAGAGAGGCAGAACAAACCCAGTTCTTTATCTATCGATAAGCTTCTTGCTTTATTTTACGTGTTATCACCTACTGGGATGACACATGGTTCTGCGTGAACCCGGATGATTAACAGTGGTAGAGTCCCAGATTCGGTCCCGTTAAATGACACACAAAGTCGAATGTCCTAGGCTCGGTTTCACCAACGTTGTTTAACTTTAAGCTTAGCTTAATTTGTCCTTTGTCGCTTCCCAACGGTTACTTTGGAAAGAGACAAATGTGAATTAAACTCGGATGAAAGTTACGCGACGTTTGGTGAAAGCGGGCCGTACGAATTAAAATTTAAATCAAATTCGCAAAATTTGTTGGAATTTAATTGACTCTGAGGAAAAGTGAAATTAACTTTATTATTTTAATAAGTAAGGATGTCATTGAACATCTATTATTCGAAAATCAGCATTTCGAGGACGTGGTCGATTTAAAGAATATCAAAGAACCTATCGCTTAAAAGAAAAGAGAAAGAAGATATGGTGTGCGTGGGATGTCATATACGTCGTCCGAAGGACGAATGTTTTACGTGAGGCGTTTGGCGAAACCTCATTTCATGCGTGTGTCGTAGAAACGTCCCACGACTTCCAAACGCTGGGCTCGCGCGGGCCCAACGGCCAGAGCAGCGTCAGCTTCCTGGATCCGAAGACCGGAATTCTCTTTTACGCACTGACGAATCTAAACACAATCGCATGCTGGAGACCGCAGAATAAATTCACCGTGCAGCAACAGGGCTACGTCTACCAGGATAACGTCACCATGATTTTCCCCAATGATCTCAAGGTAATCGCGAATCTGTGAAACTCCGATGATCCTTACTCAATCGCCAATAATAAATTATTAGTATTGCGTTAACTAAACTTACTTATGTACACCGCGAACTTTAATAGATTCTACACATGTCATCGTTACGCATCATGAGTTGCCAAAGCAACCGCGATAGAAAAATTTTGCGTTTCATTACAACTAAATACCTCGCATAGTTTTAAGAGGAAAGTAGAAAGGCAGAGTCCAGTTAAAACTGGAAATAATTATATGTAATGGCAGTTAATGTAGCTTGAGTAGATAACAATACTCGACGAAAGACATAAACGTCTTCCTTGAGAGACAAACGAATTAGGGAACGAACGTCTTATCAGAAAACACTGTGCACGAGGCCAACTATTATATGCCAAATGTCATTCTCACTCCTTGCGTTGTTTGTAAAATCAGAACTAAATGAAGCATCTTTGACGGAGCACTTCAATTTTATTAATATGACGTTTTTCTTCATTTTTGTCTTGACTTTAGTATCCATTTGTGATTGTTATACCTCGTTTCTATCTCGACAGGTCGATCGGAACGGCAACCTGTGGATCCTCTCCGACAGACTGCCCGTCTTCATGTACTCGCAATTGGACCTGCAGGACTATAACTTTAGAATTCTTACGGGATCGACCGAGGAACTCATCATGGGCACGGTTTGCAGATCGACGTCGTCTCCGACTTACTCCACGACGATGATGTACGATCACAGAGACCACATGGACCACATGGATCACATGGATCACATGGATCATATGAATCACATTGATCACAAAGATCACACGATGAACTTAACGCCCAGAATCGAAAACTCTGCAGGTTCCGTAAAAACAGAGGTCGCGACCATGATGTTGTTGGTATGCTTGAGCAAAGCTTTCGTTTGAAGAGTGACTATGAAAAATTTGGACACGAGAATTGAAATAGTAGAATTAAAGATAAGATAAGAGTAAAATTAAAGGCAAATGTAGATAGAAATAGAAAGGGCGAAAGGATAAGGGAGAAGAAGAAAGAAACATGGAATAGCCGTTTGATTATTTCCTTCATAAAATGATTTCCGTAATTTAGAATAATCTTCAACGAGGTGAAGTAACTGAATTGACCGAACCAAGTTTTATCGAGAACTATCGTTGCAAACATTTGGATATTTATTTAACGACGGTTGCATAATTAGAGCTATTGATCCTATTGGCGCGGAAACTTATTTATCATCCAATTGCTTCACTTAAGCCGATCTTTTAAAAGTCCGAGAGATACAGCGTATTAGTAATCATCTTAATTATATAATCCTATAATTATAATATTTCTATTTTATTACTATAAATATTTATGTACTTTTAGAACAGTTTATATTGCAGTAAAAAGATACGCACAGAATTGGTACAAATCGTTTAGGTTGCGACCTAGTAAATTACGATAATAGTTGGCTTTCTCGTGCACAGTACAAGTGTTTTCTGATAAGACGTTCGTTTCCTAGTTTACCTCTCGAGGAAAACGTTTCTGTCTTTCGTCGAGTATTGTTATCTACTCGCGCTAAAACTGCCATTACATTTACGTGTCAGATGTAAAATAATATATTATCATGAGAAAAAAGAAATATCCCCAAGCGATGATTTCTTTAGCTTCCTTATTTTCAACGAAATGCTATTACAGCTGGATTTTACATCTACCACACTCCGTCGTGTTTTGATTACTAAGAATTGCAATATCTTCGTGAACTCGATTTATTTTATCAGCGAATTCTTCTTTTTTGCTAGAAATGGATATTGTGACACCCTCCACAGATTCTATTTTATCACATGATGTATCGCGTATCATGTTTACTTCACCACTTCACCTTGATTTTTACGAGATCCCCATGCGGCTGGTCACGCGTGGAGCATCCGGATGCTCGCGCGATGACGGCAAGAATATTGCGTTGCACAACGTGGAAACAGCTTTCCGATTGCCAGAAACGCGTTGAAATCGCAAAATTTTGCCGCAAAAGAAAAGAGACGAAGGCACGAAGGTAATCCCTGCTGCGCGACGACATCTGCGAGGATCCCGAGAATTTTTCCCGGAGAAGATCGGCCGGTGACGTGCCGAGCATGATGATCGAGATAAGTCGCGCAAAGTCATCGCACGCATATTTACGCACCTGGTGCGCATGCATCGCGTGGTCGTCGACCCGCTGCATCTGTACACGCCGGCATTTGTACTTGAATATAAATCGCGCGAGAGCGAATCGCGATGCGCATTATCTTCCCTGCAGCGCTCGGTTGGCAGTCCGACAATTTCAGCGGCGGTGAACAACTTCTTTAGAGGAATCGTATATTCTTTTGCAGATAATATTACATTTCACAGTACACTGAAAAAAATTTCCATCGGATAAACCAATGAAATAGTGTTTCTGATGGTTAATTTTTCCGATTAAATTGTGTATTATGTGCGATGAAAATGCAGTTACCGATGAAATTTGATCGAAAAACCGATTATACTTTCCATCGGATATGTCCGTTTGTTATTATGTAATTGGATTATCCGATTATATTATATTTGTGATCGGATATTTTTCTCAGTGTACAAATAATAATTTTATTAAAAATAAACTTTGATTTATATCACATAATACCACATGAACTAAATAATTTTACATAATAATATTAAATTAATAATATTAATTATAATAACATTGATTGATATAACATTAAATTACCGTTTTATTACGCAATAATTGGTGAATTGATCGAGTGTTGTAGAACTGTTTGATTTACATGAGTATATTAAGCGTGTATTTAACATAGATACACGTCGTCGATTCTCGTTTTAAGATCTGTATTCATACGTAGACTTGGCATTTTGGCTGCAGAAGTGTACAATATCTGTCTATCAATATCTGGAATGGGGCAAAAATTCAATATGGCTACTGTGCTTGACAGAATGGACAGAGTTGTTGACGACACGACCTCGTCCACGTTTCTCAGCCGCGGCCTAGGTCCCGCCGCTGTCTGAACTTCCGTCGCTTGCTGGGGCACGCAAAACCACTGATGACCGCCGTTGTCATCGTCGTCGCCGTAACACTTATCCTTTAACCCCTATCATTCCCCTACTCTTCTGTTACCCTCACTACTTCACTAGACAAAGATGAAGATATGGATGAAGATCAACACCAGCTATCTCGTCCTAAAGTTTGTGCATGTTTTCACACGGTTGAAGTAGGGAACGCGCAGTCTATTCTTAGACCGGTATTCATAGTCGGGTCATATATTCAAGACCGACTTGAATTTATGTAAAGATATGCTGTATGGAACATTTTATTGGCTACGGAGTACCTAAAGATGATCTCCTAAGGCTGATGGCAGACAACTATCCGTAAGCGCTTAAGACTGACGTAGTCGTAGACTTAAGGTAAGGCAGAGAAAAACGTAAGCCGTGGAACACGTGTTCCTTACGGCTTATGTTTTTCTCTACCTTACCTTAAGTTTACGGCTACGTCAGTCTTAAGCGCTTACGGATAGTTGTCTGCCATCAGCCTAAGGCTCCCAGTCCTTGAACCGAGAACTTCACGTTGAAGGTGGCGCCAGAGCTGTAGCGGTAGGCATAAGAACGGTAGAAATAAGAATCATGAACGTAATGAATTTTTCGGGTGGAATAGAAATTGCAAGTCCCGATCATTCAACATTATTTTTCTCACAGAAAGTTTTAGTTAATGGCATGTTTTTGCCACATGTTTAGGCTTTGTTTTACGACTTTTGGTTAACTGTCAAGAGAAAAGGATAGTTATCGGCCAATTTTACAAGTATTCTGAAACGATTTGTCGTGTGTTTTCACCCAAATATCTGTTTACTTAAATATGCACCGATTTTTCTACGTGTCATTTCTCGCTTCTGACGTCACGATTTCGAAATGGCCGCGGTAAGCACCCAGGAGCCTTAAGCGGGGACTACACTGCAATGCAAAGTGTGTGCTCCCCGTTTTAACTTATGCCTGACCCCGCTATTGGTCAGCAGAAAGAGATTCGCAGAGCAAAGGTCCAATTCTGATGCAAGAGACTAGACACAAAGAAAAAAAGTAGCAGCTAATCGTCGCACATGAATAATTTAACTACCCAGATAGCACACATAGTTCTGTGATTATTCTTCCGGAGTGGAAATGTTCTTAATTTTAGAATATTCAAGTCGAATATTCTATAAATATATATTGATTGTTGCAATTAGAAATCGTATATTCATAACAATAGAAGAACGTTTTTAGAATATTCGTCGAGGATGTCTTTGGAATATTCGTTCAGAATAATTTTTTAATATTCATCGAGTTTATGTATTGCACATTGTTTATTGTGTAATACACTTATCTTATGCAAAAGGAAGTGAAACCTGTGATCGTACCGTGTATAACCGACACGCTATATTCGATAGATTATTCTATTCACATTCGAAAGAAATTTATAGTAATGTCAAATAGATAAGAATGACCTATGGAATGTTCCAAATATTTTTGAAGAATATTCTTAAAATGTTCATAGGAGTGTCTTGTGCTATCTGGGTAAGAATTCGATTGTCCAAGAACTGTTAGAATCTATTTTTGTTTGGAACATATTGTACAATGATTATACATTGGAATATACACTACTCAAACAAAAATAGGGAACACTTTTCATACCCTAAAAATTGGCCTATTTTCAAACCACTGAAACTCGGCGAAAAATAATCGTAGACACAAAATTAAAAAAGCATCTTAAAGCTTGAAGTTTCAACTTTAAAACTCTGTCAATGATTTATTTTGATATATTCATCTTCCTCCTTTAAAAAAGAATACATTGTTTTGTTCCTTAAAATTACGTATTTTTGACACACTGTAGCTCGATAAAAAAATTTCTCTCGACAAATTTGATGCAAGTTCCACAATCTACATTTTACCTACAAAATGCTTTTTTTTTAATTTTCCTGCGATTTTTCTTGACCGAGTTACATGACTTTGAAGCGAACCATGCATTTTCTTGAAAAATGATGTTTACCGCTGGTATTAGGCGCGTTACCCAATGTGCACCACGTGGAGGTTGCCGGTCGGATTGTGCACATCGCGCGCGTGTTCACAGTGTACAGCGGTAATTAATCAGAGAGGAGGTAATACACAATACCCAACGCTCGCACGCGCGCACACACACACACACACACACACACGCGCGCGCGCGCGCGATGTGCACATTCCGACCGGCAACCTCCACGTGCACATTGGGTAACGCTAATACCGGCGGT